GTTGGAAATGTGCTAAATGTGAGACTCTATGTTTGATTGTGTTTTGGTAGTGTAGAGTACCCACCCTTACATTCATTTTTCAAGTAATCAAGACGATCAGCACCGAACTCAGTGAAAGGGGTGAATGGAACTGCTATAGGACTAGGAGTTTAATTTGAAACTAATGTATTTGAATGGGTCCTGTAGTAGTGACTTGATAGAAATTGTAACCTCTTTCCTTATTTTAAAATATTTGATGAAACCAAGGGTTGAGAACCTTATTTGAAATAACATTTATTTTATTCTGAATTTGCAAAATTATGATTTATTAAAATTAAACATAAGGTGTTACACTTTCCATGTTGTCATGGAGCTTGTTGGGAGCGTGGCAAACCATGCATTCATCTTTTTTGTGATAGAGAATGGGAAAATGTGAAGCCTAATAGCATTAGTGGTGACCCCGTTCTACTTTATATTGTCTATGAGTCGGAGGAATTTTGTCAAATGGAGGTTTAGGTTTTCATTAGGCATTCCTCCAAAATGTGTAAGTTTTGAACCATAATAATCAACGCTGCCTTCAACTAAAAATTGTTGGCCTCCATATTAGGGGCTGCAATGCTTCAAGAAGCACCTTCAGTAGTGGGTGTAATATAATCTTGAATTGATTTCCTTCTCACTACTATTCTTTGGCTTCTCAACTCTTTCCTTTGTCTTCACATAGTTCTTTCAATTTTTGGATCAAATGAGCAAGCTGTAAGAGACTTAGAACAAGTGAGCATACACTAAAATTTAGGACTTCAACAAGAAAGCAAGTTGTAAGAGACTTGGGTCTTTGCCTGATTTTTGCTTAAGCAAGACTTCCTTACTTGAGCGAGAATTCATTAACTTCACTTTTAAGGAAGAAGAATCGGTGAAGAAAGGGGGGTGAAACGGAGCAAGAATAGAACTTCAACAAGGGAAAACTAAGGCATTTGGTGAATAAGCATTGGGATACAATTTCTCAACCATTTTCTCTTCTTTCTTTTGTTGTAATGGAAGCTATGAGTGGCTAAGCTCCCTTTCAAATTGGATGTAATCTTCAACTTTAAAGTATTTTGATGATTTATATATAGTTATCTATTTCTATAGATGTTGGTGCTTTCATTCTATTTTTAATGATTGATTCTATTTTAAATAATAGTATTTTGATTTAGGATCTAAAGTTTAGATGGAAGGTAAGTCTTAGAACCATATTAAATGAAACTCACTCAGTGTTATAAAATTAGGAATATGTTTCAATATATCAATTATTTTTTAACTCTTGTTTTTAATACTGAAGGATTCATTGTATATATGATAAATTGTTATTTATAGTATACTCTTAGGAACTTTGTATTTGAGGAATTGATATAAGCAAACATTAAAAGAGTGCATCTACTTCTATAGAATAGTTTCTATGTATCTATTCGTTAAAATATAGAGAAAGATGAATGATGAAATCTAATCCCAATTCAAATGCTAATATTTTTACATCTTATTCAAACTTCAATTATTGATTGTCTAAATTTCTCAACTCATGAATATTTATGCAAACATTAATATTTTTATAAGAATTTTAATTAAGATAATAAAAATTATAAATATATCTACCAATCTCTGTGGATACGACAACACATACTCCTTTACTAAAATGAAAGTTAGGTACGCTTGCCAAAATTTTAATATGTTTCTCCAAAGGGTTATTTAATAAAGAATGAGGTTTTACTACTAGGATGAAGGAACATTGTGGTAAAGACTTTGAGGCAGGTGGTGTTGATAATAAAGGAGAAAAAGGTGATGAAGGACAAGGAATAGGTGGAGGTTCAGGACATGGGAGAGTTTAGAGCAAGTGGTGGTATAAGAGGTAAAGTTAGTGGAGGAGGGAGAGTAAGAGATAGCAATGGCAAGTGAGAACATAGTAGGTAAGGAGGTGATGAGTTGTTGAAGATGATAGTAGCAACAGTAATCGTTTTGACATATCAAGTATCACATTACAATAAAAATTAACACTATTATGACAAAGCTGTTATTTAGATTAAAATGTCCAACATTTGATGATGTCGAGGATTAACGGCCAGGGGTCAATTTTACTTCTTATTTAATATATTGATTGCTTTTTTCAACTCTTTTTTCTTATATATATATATATATATTTTTTTTTTTTCTAAAATATTTCTAACAAAAAAATAAATTATTAAATAAAGATAATTTTTAAAATTAAATAACCTATAAATTTTTCTATTTTTGTTTCAAATTTTGAAATAACTTTTTTCTTTTATTTACATTGTTCATTTCTATTGCATTTTATTTTTTCTCATTATTGTCCTAAATTTCTTTATTCTTTTATCATCACCTATTTTAACACGACTTTCATTGACATATCAACTCTACCATTTATTTAAAATAAATTTTTGAAATTAAGATTTTATACTTTAAAAATTAATTTTAAAATTAGGTTTTTATATTTAAAAAAAATAATTTTTAAAATTAATAATCTTTTTTCGAAGTAAGTTTCTAGAATTAAGATTCTACACTTCTAAAAGTAATTTTTTAAAATTAAGTTGATTTTCAAATTTATGTATTCCAACTTTTAGAGATTAATTTTTGAAAATAAATTTTTAAAATTAGAATTCTACAGTTTTAAAAATAAGTTTTCATGTTTTCAGAAATTAATTTTTGAAATTATTTTAGAATTTTACGTTTCTAAAAATAAGTTTTTGAAATTAAGACTATACACTTTCAAAAATTAGTTTAGTTTCATACTTATTGGAATTAATTTTCAAAATTATTAACCATTTTCAAAAATAAATTTCCAAAATTTTTAAATAATAATTAAAATATACCTGATAATACTAAATTCAATTATTGTTAAGCATTTAAAAACAAAAACAAAACAAAACTCATTTAGAACTTAATAGAAATTACTTAATAATAGGAACTAAAATTATTTATTTTGAAAAATTTAGAGATTAAAACTTCATTAAAAAAAATTAACTGAAATTAAATTTCAAAATATTTATTACAAAAACAGAAATTTTATTTTAACTTGAAAAGTTTTATTTAAATTTTAGTAACATATTTTGTTCAACTTACCTCAAATAAATAAATAAATAAAAGGACATTGATACATATAAAATTTTGATTTGATTAACAATCAAGTCCTAAAAATTAATAAGATAACAATGAAAAGAATTATAAAAAATTAAATCAATATTACTTGTAAAAGTTCTCTTCCAAAAACCAATTCAAGCTTAACAGCTAACACAACCAAGGGCTTTGATGAATCCACACTTCATAGATATTTTGTCTTGTTTTTTATAGAGTTTTAATAGGAAAAATAGTCTTAGAGATTGTAAATAACATAAAAATCTTATTTAGGTCAAATATTATAGCTTTTTTAATTTTTACCTTATTTACACTAACTTTTGTAAATATATTTTGCAATTCTGAGCATTTGAATAATTGTGCAGGAGATTCTAGACAAATTCCATAAATTTTTAACTCTTTAGGAAAATATGAACTGAGAGTAATCACTCTCAGGTACCAAAGTGATCACTCCAGAAAGCTGATTCCAAAGGATAGGCTAGAGTAATCACTTTTAGAAGCAGCAATGATCACTCCAAAGCTAAAAAGAACCACAGTGTCTTCGCGTAATCACTCTCATGAGTGATAGTAATCACTCCAGAAAGCCTCAGGATGAAGGACCTTGTGTGTAACCACTTTCAAAAGTGAAAGTGATCACTCAAGTAAAGACTAAACTAGAACACTCTGCGCGTGTTCACTCTCATAAGTGAGAGTAACTACGCGCACCCAAAGTAACTACTATTATACACAAAAGTGATCACTACAGAAAGGGAGAAACCCGAGAAATGTTGCGCGTGTTCACTCTTGTTTACAAGAGTAATCATTATGAAATTGCGTCAGACTTAGTATATATAGATTTTTGGAAATTAGGTTAGAAGTTTTTACACACTTTAAGATTTCTTACCAATTTAGGAATACAGAGCCTAGGTTAGCCTTGGGTGACAGCCAAGGGTCCAACCTAGGGTTTGAATTTCATTTCTTCTTTACTTTTCTTTAATTTTTCATCTTGATGTTATTGATTTCTCTTTACTTTCATTTTGTAATTGTTAGACCCATCTTTATGGAGGGCTAAACTTTCTTGTAATCCTTAGTGAGTTCATATGGATTCTTGAATTTCTTGGCTTTTGAATGTTAATATAATTTCTTTTCTTTCATGAATTTCTTCTTCTTAATCTCTTGAATTGAGTTAATGGTTGAATGAGGGAGACATTGCTTAACTAACCCTAATTCATTTTAATGAGATTCTAAACTTGAATTGCTTAATTCTAAATTTATTTCTAAGATTGCGTAATCTTGAGATGAGAGATTGGAGTCCATTGAATTGCTTAATTTGTATGGAAATATAAAGTTAATTTTTGCTTGTTAAATTAACCTAATTCTGAGAGGAGTGAAAGAATATTAAATCTTGAGAAGAATAGAGATAGAGTCTACTAAAGGTTATTACATTTTATTGGTTGAACTTTGAAATTTAATTTTCTGCTTAAGTTGATTGAACTTGAAATTACAAAAACTCTCCTTTTTACTTGTTTTCTGAATACATGGCACACTAGATATTTAATTATTCATCCAATGATTCATAAAGAAGACCTATGTTAGCACCTTAATATTAAATTAATTTCTATTTATATTTTGATGAAATTTGTAACAAATCTTTTGTTCATCAGGATGCTTGTATTGCAACAGCAGAAAAATGCTAATAAAATTTCACTAAAGCAAAAAAATTTCACTTCCATTAAATCTTATCTAATAATTTATGCATGAAAGAATTTCAACTGTTGATGAAGCTTAAGAATTCGTGTCATGGTATGACATTTTTCTAACAAACACGGTTAATAGTGAGTAACGGTTATACAAAAATTCTGATAATGTAACCTGACCCAAAAAAAATTCAAAATATAGAGTAGTTCTCCCATATAATAGAATATCTATGCTTTCATTCAATCATTGATATGTTTTTAATCCAGTAATAGATATTACACGTGCTTTCATTCAATAGAGTTAGTAGCTCTCCCAAATAAAAGAATATCTATGCTTTCATTCAATCATTGATTTGTTTTGAATTGAATACAAATCAGCAAAAATGGTGGGAACAACAACATGCATTGTCCTGGACAAAGAGCTGTATGAAACTACATAACTAAAATTACAGTATATGTGTAATATCTATTACTGGAAGAACCCCCATGGGGTGGTTTCCTTTGGGCCAAACAGCAGCTAGATTTTATTTCCTTCACTACGAAAAGAACCGAATCAAAACGAAAGAAAAAATGCATTGGATATAACGATTGGCTAATGAAAAAAACCAAATGTGGCATTGTTATAAAGTTAGGTTAATCAAGCGTTCACGCATCATCTGCTTTCTGACTAGGGGGAGTACCGGCAAGCCAACCCCACACACCACCTGAACCCTGCTTTTGTTTTGCATTTAAGGCAGCCTGCTCAGATGCAGCTTTTTGTCTCTGGAGGAGTTCAAGTTCCTTTTGTAGTGTTCCAATTGTTTGGAGCTTCTGACCTAATTCAGCAACCTCCACCTGTGATCCCAAATACTCTTTTCAGTGAAAAAGAAAAATCCAAATTCTTCCACATAATAAAAGGAGATAAACGCCAAACTTCTAAAGCAGTCTCACACAGACAAACTAGACCATAACAAAGAGAGATTTTCCTAGAATGATTTCATTGACAAATTCTCTCAGGCAGGTATGCTTCCCCAAGTGACACCAAACTGACCATAGAGTAATATGCATTTGGTGTGATTAACAGTTTTTAATACAATCAAGAAATTTTTGTGAAGAATGGAAAATTTTGAAATTCAAATTCCTGATCAAATTGACAACTCCTTGCTCTATGAATAGCTAGTACATGAATGACATTGTACTGCGTTTCCCCAATAACTTTTCCTCACTAAGCTACATTTGGAGGAAAAAAATTACCCAGTGATGGAATATTGATCACTTCATTTGAATGCCTATAGCTGATAATTTATCGAACTAAGCATTTACTTAACTGCTGGAGAGTGGACTCGGTTCACTCCAAGTGATTAACTATGAATCTATGATTTCAAAAGTACTCCTCACCGACAACCCTAGCCAGTAAAGCCAAGAAGGGAAGCATTCAATTTCCAATTAGGTGTTTTGTGATTTCATCAAGAGCTCTTTCTCTAACAATACTATTGTGAGTTGGATCCACTGGAGAGATCAGGAATACGGTTTAAAATTGTGAGCTTTAATTTCTCATAATGGTAATAAATGTTCAGAAACACTTTCTCGTGGTGACCCAGAGGGGAAGGTTGTCAGAAGCATTAATGATTACCTCAAGTTTGAAACACCTTGACTGCTCAGAAGCAAGCTGACCACGTACTGATTGGAGCTCCTGCATTATCAGTGCAAAAAAGTGAGGACATTTTGATAGCATTATAGAACAATAGATAACATACAAGTTGTGTTTTTAGATCTCATTCTGCTTATTTAACCGCATAATTTACCAGTACTTTACCCATGGATTATATTCAATGTGTACTGGCAACATAGTGTTTCATCTACTTCCAAAATGAAAAAGAAACTTCAACAATTAAAATAGTTACCTTGCAAAGGTCAGAGTTACGAGTTTCAGCATCTGCCAGCTCTTGTTTTAGTTGAAGTGTGTGCAACTTCTCCTTGCTGAGTGATGATTCCAATTCTTCTTTCTCATCCTTCAGGACTGTTATAAGATCACCTTTTGATTTCTGTTAGATACCCAAAAATCAAAATGTAAAAGTGGTGACTAGCAAGAACTGAAATGAAAGCAGGAATAGAAATGAAATACACCAAATGCAGAATTTATCTGTTATGCCTGTAATTTGAATAATGCAGACAGAATTTGCAATATTTGAGGAGTGAAATAGGAATTCACTATCAACAAAAGAGGAATGCTAGCAACACACTCTCCACTATTGCTTAAAATTTATTGACACTATAAAAGTATGAGAGAAAAACATTAATTTAAGAGTAAGATCCACATCATTTTTGTAATTTTCAATAAATTTTAGCTAATAGTAGAGTGCGTTAAAGAGTGTGTATGAGGGTGTGTTGTTAGCATTCTTCATTGACAAAATACAAATGCACATATAGGGTATCTGTGTGGTTTGTAGTTTCTTATGAGCTTCCAAATGATTTTTCATTATTATTTTTGCTTTGGACCTAACATCAGCAAAAGGTGAAATATCACACTAACTGGTTCAATGACATTGGCTAGACAATGCAAGTCTATGTCAGTCAAGTGAAATAGGGCATGCTTTACAATAATACATACTATTGAATCAACATTTTCCATAGCAAGTTCCTTAACTTTCCCTTCATGCCCTGCTGCAAATTCAGACACCAGATCTCGAGTAGCATTTGTGGCGTTGTGCACAGCAGCAACACCGTCTGGTATGGGATTGTCAAGTATTTTTGATTGCAAGGTTGATTTGTGGCTTGGTTTAAGGACATAGACCTGAACACAGTAAACTACATCAGGGGAGAGAGAACAATAAAACAAAAGTAAAACAAAGCAGTAAAGGCCAAGATTTTGAAATAATATTTAGTTCTTCACCTCATTGTTGTACCGTCCATTGTATCCTCCAAATGATACAAGTATGTCTTCACCATCACATGAGCTTACAACCAAACTTGAGCCCTGCAATGGGAAATGCTTTAATATCATAAGCAGATAGCACTAGAAAACTATGATGAGTGATGACAGCATGGAGTTAACAAGGATGTAACATTTAGAATGAATATATAGCACATGCAACTCTGTAACAAGATATGCATATATAAAAGGGAGAAGTCCAGAAACAGAACTCCTGATAAAAATATTTACCATCAAGGGGGAATAACCACTTGGAGTGTAACACATTATACAAAATGACAGCATCAGAAGGTTATTTTTTCTACATGTCAATATTTTTAACAAGAGTGAATATTTGGTGTTCTCCCATGATAAAAGGTCACTACACAATTAAAAGTACCTCACTAGCAACAGGAACACGCCCTTGAACAGAAGTTACCATTGACCAAGTCAGTGTAGACATATTTAACACATCAGTCTCTGAGACCCCTGCAAAATAGCATGGAATATAACTTGAAACAAGATATATAAAGCAACCGTAAGACACCACCGGAAATGTCTTCTAATCTAAAATCAACGATACATTTGCAACAAACTAGGTGATAAAGCCATACAGATATATCTGTTAGCATCTGTTGATAATTGTTAGTGCGCGAATGAATTAGTTAGTTGGGCTGGGATGAGAAGACATAATGCATGTTCCCCGTAACTGAGAAGAGGGGTTGACAGTAGAAGTATCTAATCATTTGAGAGGAAATTGAGGCCTTTGGGCATTGGAAGTCAGACCCTCAAAGTTCTGTAGTGCTGTAATCAGGGAAGATTTTCCCTATTCTTTCTAATAGGCTACCAGTTTTCTATCATAACTACACTACAAGTTACCCACCATAATGATCCCAATAGAACAGTAATGTTTTTATAACTATAACTTATACAAATTGTTTTCGAAGCCATGAATTTATTCTGTTACAGTAACTCCAGAATGCATTATGCAGTATCTTAGTAAGTTCACAAGTAATTTTATTTAATCTAACCATTTGAAGCTCATTTCTACAAAATTATGTTCAGGTGAACATTCCCAAACATAGAATTCAAACTTCCGAAAGCAAACTCCATTCTCATAAAAAAGTAATACTCTGCCAATTACCTAAACAATGAAGGACTAATCAAGTGCATCTCAATGTTGGTTGCTAGGATCTTCTATGTGCTTTGATTTCTTTTGGTTGTATTTGATTCTCCACCAAGTTTTAAACATTTTGGTATCACTTCCATTCACTCATAAAGCACACAAAGAAGGAAGAAATATGCAGGACAAATAGGCCAAACTTGGCCTATGCATGTGTTAATACATATTAAGAATTCAAACAGGTCTTGGAGAAGATGGCACACACTGCATGTTCAATAATCTTTACCTTAAAAATGGCATTTTCTTTAACACAAACTACCTGAGATAATCAATGGAATGCTTGTTATCAATTTGAATATTGCTCTACATTTATCTTCCTTTCTACTGTTTTTAGAAGTTGGGGCCATGCTTGACAGTACAAGTATGCATAAATACATGCAATTTAAAAATGAGAATCAAACCAGTTAAATTAGTTTCTCATACACACAAACATGTCTCTTTGTGCGTGTATATTTGAAAGCATGCCAAACCAACAAACTATGCAGCACTACCATCATAAAACTAGTTATTTATTTATTTATTTAGTTTGACCTAAGAATGAATGTGTCTACTGCAAGAATTCCAAAATTATTTGTACATGAATCAAAAAATATTTTATACAGGAAATATCCATTCCCCAAAATGAAATATTTTGAATTTAGGTAACCAGGTGACAAAAAGCCGTACCACTCTTATTGTCACCCCCACCAACAATGAACCAGTTCTCCCCTACTGTCACACCAGCATGTCCAGCGCGGGGTGTTGGTATTTCACCCAATTGTGTTGGTCGAGACCATTCCATCTGCATAGTTCACATAGATGATTAGATGAAGCTGATTTTTCCAGTCCGCAGCCTAATAGAAGAGGCAGTGGTCTTACAGTCTGCAAATCGAGAACGTGTAAATCATTATAGCAAGTTGCATGTGAACCCCCACCAAAGATAAGTAAGTATCGCTCCACATGAATAGCAGCAGCATGATCAGACCTTGGAGAAGGAGGCACCCCACTGCCATTTGAGATTTCTTTAGCATCAAGAATTAACATGTTTCCCTTGTTAATATTTCTCTCTAGATAGGAATAGGAAAGCCAGTATAATAGCATATTCAACACCAATGAAAATGAGTAACAATTACCATGTATCAGAACCAGATTTTGGCATAAGCAAAGAAGATAATTGCAAAACAAAATCAAACATCAAGTCCTTCTTATGTTTTTTTTTTTTTTTTTTTTTGGTTTACACCCTTAAAACATTAACATTTACCAGCATATTAATTAAAACTTTCATGCCCAACCCCACCCAACTAAAAATATAATAAGATAGAAAGGTTGCTTCAGGAAACTTCTTACACAGCATCTATTTCATCCCATGTCATGGTTTCCAAATCAAGAATATGCAGGTCATTCAAGAGAGTTCTCTTGGCATCTTGTCCACCGAAAATTACTAAGCTTGTTCCAACTAAGGTAACTGACTGGCCTCCACGTGATACCTAAAAAGGACACATGAAAAAAATTCAATTTAACTGTTGATTGATGTGTTCCATTTAAAAAAAAAAGGATAAAATTAAACTCCCCACCCCTAATAGCTTAAGCAAAAAATTATACTTCCTACTCTTGAGAAATTAATATTTGCAACGTATTGATCCATTGAAATGTGAACAAGCCATTTAGAGGCAATTCTTCTTGTTGCAACTATCAACAACATTAGCAACTAATTTTGAATCCTACTCAACTTTGGTGCCTTAGAAAACACATCGAATATTTTGGTTAAAGTTCCAAAACCATTAGTGAGGGAGTCTAAAATTTCATTTCATTCTCTGATAGGTCCTTAATTCATAAAGAGGGCCCAAATGCATTTTTGTCCAAGAATTTCTCTAAGCCCCTAATTTGGAAAGTATACAAGAGAAAGAAAAAGAGCGGGGAGGTTAGTAGTAGCCAGGTGGCACAGTAGAGTTGGTGTGGAGGGAGAATTCTTTACAAGGGAAGTGATAAGGAGAGAGAAAGGGGAAGAAGAATCTTGTTTTGTTGGCAGAGGCATTCGTATGTTCTAGGAAGAGTATAGCTCTAGATAGGGAATTACTCAAATTCTCTGGTTTTTTGTCTTTATTTCCGTAATTAATATATATCTCATTTTCTTTCTATCTCAATACCAATTTTCATTCCTTTTCTTTTTCTATTACTCTTATGTTCATCATTTTGTTGTCTATGGATTCCTAACAAACTGGTCCTTCTTGCCTGATAATTCAATTTCGACGAACATCGTTAGTTCCATAATCAGCATTAGTGACTACATTTTGAATGCCACCAAAGAAAAGGGAAAGCAGAGTCTCAGCCATAAAAGAGGCAATGTCAGATTTTCGTAACATTCTGGCGGAGCTACGAGCTTTGATAGTGGAAAACAGGGAGAGACTTGATTCCATCGCTACCAAAGAATCAGATAATGACATAAGCTCTCAGTCCAAGAAGAAACCAGAGGCAAATCCGAATGAGAGCGGATGGTCCAAGCTTGACGATGACTCGTTGGAGGAATTTCGACGATTGGTGAAGCAAGTTGAGCTACAGATGTTCGATGGAGAAGATCCCGTTGATTGGATCATTAAGGCGGAGGTGTATTTCGAGGTGCGAGGTACTCAACCATAGGTAAAAGTGAATTTGGCCTAGTTGTGCATGGAAGGGCCAACTGTTCATTTTTTTAGGTCCCTAACGGAGGAAGGAGGAGAGTTGACATGGGAGAAGTTCAGAGAGGAGTTGCTGAAACAATACAATGGAATCAGCGAAGAAAATGTTTTCGAACAGCTTGCTGTACTGCAACAAGACGGAGATATTGAAGACTACATCCAGCAATTTGAGAGGTTGACCGCACAGGTTGGTTGTCTTCCTAAAAAGAGCAACTCCCAATGCAAGTTTCAATCATCTATCTCCAAGGATAACTTCCAGGTATTTTGTCCATGGATTACATGACGGAGTAAGGGGCAAGGTGCGAAGCTTACAGGCTCTTGGGTCTTTACCTCATGCTCGCCTTCTGAATGTGGCCAGAGCTGTGGAGTTGAAGATGAGGGAGACGAAGGAGAACTGGGCTGGATCATGACAGTTCGGATCCAATACCATGCTTAGATTCGGGGCACAGCATAGATCTGGGTCGAATGGGTCGAGTAAAGACAGAATGGATGATTGGGTCCATGTGAAAGGAGGGAAAGAAGGCCATGACAGAAATACAAATGGCCCAACATCCAAATATAAGCCCAAATTTGAAAAAAAGGGGACGTCGAGAGGAAACAAAAGGGGCTATGCTTTAGGTGTGGGGGCCCTTTCCACCCACAGCACCAATACTCAGCCAAACAACTGCGTATAATGTTGACTGAGGATGACGATAACGAAACAGGTGAGACCCACAAAATGGAAGTCGATGAGAAGGAAGGAGGTGATTCCAAAGGAGAGTCCAGTGTTATGAACCTTCAAAGCTTGGAAGAGTTGAAATTCCTCCATCCACGCACATTAAAGCTTCAAGATATGGTAAAAGGAGTCCCTATTCTGCTCTTGGTTGATAGTGGGGCAACCCACAACTTTATATCCAAGAAGATTGCCGAGAAGCTAGGGTGGCAAATTGTTGAGACCAAACCCATAAAAATCAAATTGGGTGATGGTCACAGAACAGAAACCCAAGGGAAATGTGTGGGCATAGAGCTTGAGTTAGGGAAGCATAAGGTGAAAATGGATGTCATTCAATTTGATTTGGAAGGAATAGATGTGGTGTTGGGAATGTCTTGGCTAGCATCCCTTGGAGGGATGTGGGTAGACTAGGAGAAGCAACTCATGCTAGTGCAACTGCAAGAAGAATGGGTTGAGTTGAAGGGAATTGGCAATGAAGTACAGCGTCATATGGCATTACATAGTTTTTTGAACAAATATCTGCAGCTGATTGAAGGTATATTGGTTTATGCTGAGCTGAATTTGTCCCTTACAGGAGGAAACATGAGGACACCAAAGGAGTTACAGAAGTTACTGACCTTGTCGATGCGGTATTTCAAGAACCTAGGGGGTTGCCTCCCAAATGAAAAGAGGCACATGCTATTGTGTTGGATGGAGCAGGTCCAGTTAATGTAAGACCATATCAATATCTTCATCATCACAAGAATGAAATTGAGCGATAAGTAAAGGAATTGTTGCAGGCTGAAATAATCAAACCAAGTCAGAGTACTTTCTCTAGTCCGGTTATCTTAGTAAAAATAAAGGACACCTCTTAGAGGATGTGTGTCGACTATCATGCTTTGAACAAGGTCATCGTTCCTAACAAATTTTCCATCCCAGTTATTGATGAATTACAAGATGAACTCCATGGTGCAAAATATTTTTCCAAACTGGATCTCAAATATGGATTTAACCAAGTCAGAGTCAAGGAGGAGGACATGCACAAAACAGCGTTTAGAACTCATGAGGGCCACTACAAATATTTAGTAATGCCCTTTGGTTTGATGAATGCCCCTTCAACATTTCAAGCCCTCATGAATTCCGTTTTCAAGGATATGATGCGTAATTTTGTACTTGTGTTTTTTTATAACATTTTGATTTATAGCCCAGACTGAGACTCTCATTTGGAGCATATAGTCAAGGTGCTGCAATGGTTTCAAGCTGAAAAGTTAGTTGCAAATAAGAAGAAATGTTCTTTTGCCCAACCATCAGTTGAGTACTTGGGTCATTTAATCACTAAGGATGGGGTGGCAATGGATCCTAACAAGATTCAGAGTGTTTTAGAGAGGCATGTTCCAATTAATGTGAAGGGAGTCCACGATTTCCTTGGATTGACGGGCTATTATCACAAATTCATACTGGATTATGAAAAAATTTTCAGGCCATTGACTGTTCTGACCAAGAAGGATGGGTTCTTTTGGTCCAGTGAAGCACAAAAGGCGTTTGAATTACTCAAAGAAAAGATGACCACTGGGCCAATTTTGGCCTTACCAGACTTTTCTAAAGAATTTATCATCGAAAGTGATGCCTCTGGGCTTGGTTTGGGAGCGATCTTGATGCAGGAGGGGCGTCCTGTGTCTTATTTCAGCAAAGCTCTTGGGAAAAGGAATCTAACTAAATCAGCCTACGAGAAGGAGCTTGTTATGAATAGTTAGAAAAGACGTATTAGGATTAGAATTTATTTTAGTATTATAATAATGGGCTTGACCTAGTAGGATTACATATGTATCCTTATAAATATAAGAATCTCTACACATTGTAGAGTATCCATTTCCAGCACACTAATCTATCTATCTCTATATGCTCTTTCTCTCTTAATCTCTACAGAGCTCATGGCCGTGACTCTAGCTATCTAACATTGGCGTCCCTACCTTCTTGATCGTAGGTTTGTTATGATGACAGATCAGAAAAGTCTCAAGCAATTAATGCAGCGGCTTATTACCACTGCCTGTCAGCAGAACTGGATTGCCAAGCTCCTCGGTTACCAATTTGACATTGAGTATAAGCCTGGTCAAGAGAACAAGGGGGCCGATGCTCTATCCCGTATGTTTGGAGATTTAGAACTCAATTCTATGCTCCATACACCTAGCTGGATGGGAAGCAAGGAGTTGATTGAAGAGGTGCATAAAAATGCCCATTTACTGCAAATTATTTCTGCATTGCAGCACCAACAGCCCACCAAACTAGGATTCACCTACACTAAGGGGGTTTTGTTCTATCAAGGGCGTTTGGTAATCTCTAACCAATCTGCTTGGATACCTACCTTGTTAAATGAGTTCGTGGTCATTTTGGTTTTTATCGAACTTATAGAAGGGTAGCAGCCAACCTATTTTGGTTCGGTATGAGATGTTTAGTTCAGAATTTGTGCAAGAATGTGATACTTGTCAACACCAAAAATACTTAGTTGCATCCCCTGCTGGCTTTACAACCATTGCCAGCTCCAGAACAGATTTAGGAAGAAATATCTTTGGATTTCATCACTGGGCAGGGTTTGACGCTATTTTAGTCATTGTGGACTGGTTGTCAAAATATAGTCATTTCATCCCTCTAAGACACCCTTACTCTGCTAAAACAGTTGCTGAAGTTTTCACTAAAGATGTGGTGAAACTACATGGGATTCCTGCTTCCATTCTAAACAATGGAGATCCTACTTTTGTTAGTAGTTTTTGAAAAGGGTTGTTTAAAATGCAAGGGACGCAATTGAAAATGAGTACCGCCTATCATCCTCCGACCGATGGACAAATTGAGGTTGTAAACAGGTGCCTTGAGACCTACTTGAGATGTTTTATTGCTGACCAACCTAAATCTTGGGTTATCTGGTTGCCGTGGGCGGAATTTTGGTGCAATACCACCTTTCATGCATATACAGGGAGCACTACTTTTGAGGTAGTATATGTACAGACACCCCCTGTAGTAACTCAATTCTTGCCCTGTGAAATCAAGGTGAAAGCGGTTGGGAGAGAGCTTAAGGATAGAGATGAGGCCCTCAAGCAGTTCAAGTTACGTTTGAACCGAGCCCAAAGTTCTATAAAGGTTCAACCCGATAAGAATCACGCTAATCGACAGTATGACATAGGTGAGGTGGTGTTTCTAAAACTCAAGCCTCATGGTCAGCAATCTATAGGTGCAAGAATTTGCCCAAAATTATCCCCTCGCTACTATGGTCCTTTCACTATCTTGAGCAGGGTAGGGAAGGTTGCCTACCAGCTTCAATTACCCCTAGAGTCTTGCATTCAACCCCGTTTTCCACATTTCCCTCCTCAAGAAAGCTGTTGGAAACTACTCAAAAAATGATAATTTACCTACTGATTTGGAAGGGGATCTCAATTCCCCTTTGGAGCCTACCACTGTTTTGGCCTCTCGAGTCATCACTAAGAAAGGGGTGTCAATTCCTCAACTGCTGATCCAATGGAAGGGAAAACCAACTGAAGAGGCTAGTTGGGAGGAGAAGTACAACATCCGCAATCAGTCCCTGACTTCAAGCTTGAGTACAAGCCTAGTTTTCATGGAGAGGAGTATGATAGGCCCTTAATTCATAAAGAAGGCCCAAATGCATTTTTGTTGGCAGAGGCATTTGTACGTTTTGGGAGGAGCATAGCTCTGGATAGGGAATTACTCAAATTCTCTGGTTTTTTGTCTTTATTTTCGTAATTAATATATATCTCATTTTCTTTCTATCTCAATACCAATTTTCATTCCTTTTCTTTTTCTGTTACTCTTATGTTCATCATTTTGCTGTCTATAGATTCCTAACAAACTCTCTGAAGCATAAAATCAATAATAGGGTATTCAAAATTAGTTGTTATTGACAATGAAAGTTACAAAGAAGGAAAATGTCTCTAGGAGGCTCTTCCGTAGTTGCTAACAGTCAATAAGATGGTTGTTTACAATAAAATGGACTAAAGTATAGAACATTGGTGGAATATTTCATGGGAGGGAGTGTAAGTTTTTAAATTAGTTAATCTAAGTATCTCTCAAGGAAGTGGGGGTCTAAGTTTTACAGAAAAAGAAAAGATGAAGCAACACTGCATAAGCATCAAATTTATGCATCTCTTGTTAGACAATCAGAGAAAAAAAAAAACGCAACATGCCACATATATCTAAAATTCAACAATTTCAAAGATTTTTAATGACAGATACATACCGGGGGTTTCCCATAAGTCTTTAGAGTTGACCATGTTGCCTTTTGCAGATCAAACACTTTCACTATTATAATATAATTAACATTCAATAATAATATTAAAAATAGATTCTTAATTGTAATTACAGTAGAAAAGATGACAATAAAAGAATACAGAAGTAGGAAAAAAGCAACTAAACAGGGAGGAAACACCATATCAATGGGCATAGATTGAATCAACAAAGCAAAATGTTACATGTTTTTATTGTTCAATGAAAATTTACTTGAAGAACAAAAAGAAACCTACTAACAAAATTTGTACATGAATGTTTCACTTGAGTATGTACACAAATTTCATCACTCTCTACCGTCTAGATTGCGTTTCTTCAAGGTGAATAAAGTAATAATATCATGTCTTTCAGTTTTTCAAATGAAGTGAAGAGTGAACCATAAAATTTTGTAAAGCTTTTGCTCTGAAACTCATTTAAATGACACTCCTAAATTTCCCATTTCTACATGCTTTAAGTTTTGCATAGATATGATGCTAAAGAATGACAAGACATAACATTATTATCATATACCTTGGATACTTTCATTCCGATCTTTTGTATGCCCAGCAATTGATAGAAGTTTATTTTCCCATGGAATCTATGGTGACGAAGTTACAATAATCAAAATCCAAAATATTCTGAAATTAGTACTAGCAACTAACAAAAACGCGTTGAATATAGAAGAAAATATGATGCAGGACTTTTCAAATGAGAAATTTTTTTTTTTTCAACACAAACCAGGGAATGACCAGCACAAGGGGTTAATGTTGCTGAGGATGACGAGTCAGTAGACTCTTCAACCTTAGCCTCAACCTTTGACCAAGTCCAACTTCTCAAATCAAGAACCTGTATTGTTTCAATGTAATTCAAAGTTAAAACAGAGTGTAGTCAACTCAAGAGGTAGAGGGAGGTTAAGAAAGTTAACCTGTGAAAACCACAACATAACCATTACTTGAACTTAAATTGGCAGTTTGAGACAACCTCACAAGATATATTACTACTTAGCCAAAATGCATGTTTCATGCAGCAGAGATATTAAATATATGCTTACATGGAGATCACTAAGGTAACGACCATTGTGGTTTCCCCCATATATGTACAATTTGTCTAGCACGACTGCAGCTCCATGCTGAACATATAAAAACACAATAATAGCTGAGGAAAAGGAGTAAATTGATTGGATATAAACAACTTGCAAAGAAGAATGGAATTTATATTTTGACCTCATATCTGGCTTTTGGACGTTGACCAGATACAGGAGGTGCAATCCATTGGTCATAGACTCCAACTGAACCAATGCCTTCAATGACAACATCCTTATCCTGGGATCCAACTTGACTTCCATTTTCAGTGGAAATAGTTTTTATCTCTGGATATGAGTTCCCATTCTCAATTACTGGTTCAACTTTGGTATCATACTGTAAAACCAGCAAGACAAAATAGAAGGGGCAGAATTATGTCAAAAGTAGCAGGAAAAGTGGAGAAAAATAGGATGCTCTCATTGCATTTCTCATGTAACTTTACGATGACAAATCTCTTACATTAATTCACATCTAAAGATCAAATCCTAAATATTATATCAATAAATCAGCACACAACATGCAACAAAAACATTGAAATGACTCTCAGTCGCACAAGAATTGGATGCATGCCTGGTGGATGAAAGGAAATGACTCAGCATTACATATAACCTTAGTGATACTTACATTCATTTGTACATCAACAACAGGGTCTACAATGGAGTTAGATGCTCTTGAATACCAACCAGGATCTTCTTCCTACATGAAAAAGGGAAATAAGAATGAAAGTAATTAGCTACCATTCTGCATTGTACCAAGGAAGAAAGGTGAAACAAAATTATTAGCATGACCTCCAATATTTTCACAAAAAGACGCATGGCTTCTGTGGAAGACATGTTTCCAAGTTGGTTCCAGCTGCATCAACAACCACTGCTGCTTATTGATATTCTCAACAAAACAAAAGCACAGTGCAAACAGCCAGAATAATATAAAAACAATTATTAAAATTAGTGCAGCATGCACAACAAACTATTTGCATAACGTATACAGCATGAAGAAACATTGGTAAAATCCTAACCACACATAAATGCATACATTAATAGAGTGAAGGATCAGTGAGACTGATATAGAAATAGCATAGCGAAAAAAAAGAAAAACAAAAAGACAGCTTGAATGTTAAAGCACACTAACCTGGCCCATTTACTATGCTCCACAATTTTCCATGAACTGGGTTCAGGGATGTTACAACGTCCTATACTAGCCTGGCATAACAAATCAAACATTAAATTTACGCGTAATTCTCATGAATAAATCCCTACTTCAAATCAAAATAATATCAGCACATCTGACAACAAAAACAAAAAGCCATTTGATACGAGGAGGCTAAAATGGTGGGATGGATGGATCAATGCAGTGGCAAATCAACATTTCATTCCTCGGTGTTTCAAACGCGTCTTATATTTATTGGTGTGCATTTCATCAGAATCTACACAGACTAGGTTTGTCTTTTTCTTTTAACCAATATTGCATACAAAACCATTGCGTCCTGAAATTGTTTTTTCATTTTTGTTCCACTCACTGTCTAAACTCCAGATCTACCAATAACTACACCCCCTGGAATAGCTAGAGGCACACTCAATTGATCAGAAACGCCTTCCAATTCCATCACCGACAACACAACACAACAGAGCAAGCTAGCAATAGCAAAATTAAAAATCGAAACTCGATATTCACATAAATAAGAGTTGCGACAAGCGAAAATAAGCGAGAGCATGAAATGCGCGCCGAAGCAGAAAGTGAATCGAAGAGATCGAAAACGGTGCGTACCTGCTGATAGAGGCTATAGAGAAGAAGAGCGGTGGAGTTGGCGAACTTGGCGGTGAGGGCTTTGGTAGGAGACGTGGATCCGTCAAATCCAACGTAAGAGGCCGCGGCGTAGAAGCGCTCTGGATATTGCAGACCAGAGCTTGCTCTCGCCATCGCCATCTTCCTTCTTCACACTCAAACCAATTCCTATTCAATTGATCTCACTCACTCCCGCACTTACACCAATATACAATACGACGTGTCGTTCTTGTTCCTTCTCGAGAGCTGATATTACAAGTACGACACAAAACGAAGGTGGCGTGGAACTGGTGTTCTACACGTTAAAATATTACCATGTACCCGTTGCCTGCCATGTTATTGCAGACTTCACAGATCCACCATAATTGGTAAAAATTTTGGCATTAATCCCCCAATGTTTCCATAATTGTCAGTGTCAACCCCTGTAATCTGTCCTTTGCACTAGTTTCTTTGTTCTTCCCCAAAAATTAAAATAAACTTCACACTTATTATTTACTCTCTCACTTTTACAAATATTGAAAACATAATTAAAAGTTATAAAATTTAATAGAATACAAAAGTTGTAATTAATAACGTTAATTAAATGTTTAATAAATATAGATCTAAACACGCTGTTATATAGTATGATTATTTTTTATTAAAATAAATTTTAAGAAATTATTCTAAGGAATTTATAAAAAATATTATTTTTCATAATTTTTTATTTAGTCTAATAATTTTTTTGGTTAAAATTAGTTTATTTTATTTTATTCTAATAAAATTTATGATTAAATTTGTGACATAAATCGTTAGTTTAATAATTTTTTAGTTAAAGAGTGATCTAAATGCACCGTAATGCTTAGTTTGTTTTGGGTAAAATTAAGCAGATAAAGAAAAGTATATGTAAAAAAAAATAATGTGATTAAATATTTTGACTTTTATATAAGTGGAAATTATCGTTAACATGAGATCTATCAATTTACTTTTCCTCCAAAATTATGAGATTTTGGGTGAGGGTGAAAGACATTTTTTTTATATTTTATTGAAAATTTTTAAAATAATACAAAAAATAAAATTATATAATTCAAAAAAACATATTAAAATTTTTATTTTTATTATATTTTTTAATATAAATCATATATACTTTTACTTTTTTATTATCATCCAATTAAATTAAAGATTTTTTTATTTTTCTCTTATTTCTATTGATTCAAACAAAATAAATTTTTATTTATTTTTCATTTTTTTTTACTTTTTTCCTATTCACTTTATATTTCATTCAAACATAATATAAACGCAAAGATGTAAATTTATATTATTTTTATTGCATATTAATGTAAGAATGCAAAATTAAAATTCGAGAATTAGGATTCCCCCCCCCCCCCTCATCCTATACATTGACAAGGGAATCAAAATAAATTTTATTAAATTGCATTTTTAAATTTTAATAAAGAAAAGACTATGATAAAAAAAATGAAACATAATATTAAAGCATTTATTTTGTGGTTGATATATTTAATATTTACTATTTACTATTCAAATATTAAACAATTCTATCACAGCTAGTTGTGAATAATTGTTTACAAAAATGACTTTAATTAACTTTCAATAATTATGTCTAACAAGTTGGCAGCTATCTCGTATTGTTCATTGTACGTGTACACACATACCTACGTTGTCAGCCCTAGTATTTAATTTTATATTTTTGTTATCATTTGACTTGAATAGTTTAGAATAAAGAATGCATTGTGAAGTAATAAACTAAAACATAAACAAAGAAATTGTAAAAAACGAAAAGGTAGAATTTTAAATGTATATAGAAACGTGAACTTGACAAGTCGATCGAATCATGCAAATGCTATAAAATGTGTTGTTTTTGTGATACTCGCGTCAATTTGACAACTCACAAAATGTCATTTGGATCTATTACCAGAAGTAATGATGATTAATAGTCACCGGAGAATGATCAAATTATAATGCAAAATAGGACAAGCATGTTAAAAAATTAAAAATTAATGGTCTTGAGTGGATTATTCTCACTTATGAGTGAAAATAGGTTAGGTTACTTAATTAAAGTAAGATTTATTTACTAAATATATCATACTAAAGTTTGGGCTCATTCAAAAAGTGTGTTTAACCATTTTAAATAATATCAACAGAAATAGTAATAAATATAGTATTTTAATATTATTTTATTTCATTTCATAACTTAATGTTATTAACATATATATATATATATATATATATATATATATATAAACTTATTTAGAGTTAGTTTTCTTTACTTATTTAAAATATTTTATTATAAAATTGACTTATTGCAAAAATATGATATATCGTTAATTTATACATAATAATTAAAAGATATGTAGATATTTAAATAAAAACAGATTAAAACAATATGCATTTTTTTCCTTTTTTAATTATTTTATACACTTTTTTTATAAATCTGTATAAATAAATTATGTATTACACGTCTTATATTTATATTAATTATTAAATAAAATTTATATAAGAGACTTACTTTGAATAATATAAAAATTAAATATAAATAATTAAAATTAAGAAAATAAATTATATATAATATAAATTATAAATTCAAAAATAGAATTAAACTTTTTGATGATATATATTTTTCATCATTACTTTTTGTGTGATATAAATATTTTGTTTCTAAAGTGACAACCAAACTAAGGCTAAAATCAAAACAGACGCTGCGGCCCAATATATATTGGACTGGATCACACACCTATGTCCAATGCCCGTTACCTCCTAAACCTCTTTGTTGAACTAAAGACCTAAACAAAAACCAATTAGCCGTGGCATGGTAACACATGTAACATACAAACACTGCACGAAACTCGAACCACCCTAAACGACGGCGCATTCAAATTCTCGCCACCGCCGCAGCATCAAATTCCGAACTATTATTACCTTTGGTTTCCCCTTCCAAGTTCCAGCGTCGCGATGACGGAAACGCGCGAAAACGCGTCGAATGAAACCGTTCGCGAATACGAGGAGAAAGAAGAAGACCAAAGTTTCGAAGAACTCGGTTTGGACGCTCGCCTCGTTCGTGCTCTGCTCAAAAAGGGAATCGAGAAACCCACTCCAATTCAGCGCGTCGCTATTCCTCTCATTTTGGTCACACTCTCTGCTTCAACTTCAACTATCGCTATAAACGGTTCACCTTCATTTTCCCTAAACTAGTTCACTCGCTGTTTTCAGGAAGGTAAAGACGTGGTTGCACGAGCGAAAACAGGTTCGGGGAAAACGTTCGCGTATCTTCTCCCGTTGCTTCAGAAACTGTTTACCAGTAACGTTGATAGGAAGAAGCTAGCGCCCAATGCTTTTATTCTTGTCCCTACTCGCGAACTGTCTCAACAGGTGCATTCACTTGTTTCAGTTTGTATTCTGCGTTTTTTCTTTTTTAATTGAATTGGATAAATTGATTTCATCTTTTTTCCCCTTTTATTTCTATCTTTGATTTCAGGTATATGCGGAGGTATTGTCGCTTATTGAGTTGTGCAGAGTTCAACTGAAGGTTGTGCAGTTGAATAGCAATATGCTTGCTAATGACTTGGTTGGTTATGATTCTTTCCCGAGTCTCGTTTGTATGTTATAATTATTTTAGGGAGCAAGTTAAAGTTAATTTCTGCACCTGATACATGTGTGGATATTCTATTTCCTTTCTGCTTAAGAATGTGCTTTGCTGTAATTGTCCTTGAATTGGGTTTGCAGCGGGCAGCATTGGCTGGACCCCCTGATGTCTTGATCTCCACTCCTGCTTGCATAGCGAAGTGTTTGTCCGGCGGCATACTTCGGGCAGCATCCATTAATGGATCGCTTGAAACTCTGGTTCTTGACGAGGTGAAATCTTCTTAGCTGCTCCATTTCTAAAACAACCATCAGCTTTTTTTCCCCCATGTTGAATTTATCCACACACCAATTGCATTTTAACACAATTTGATATCCAAAAATTGTTGGGTTTAATAGTTTTCACTTTTTACTTATTTGAAATTATCATGTTTTGGTTGTTTTTTAATTTATATTGTGATTTAAGTAGTTGATGAACCATCCTTGATTCTACTCCTTATTTGTATCTGATGACATGATTGATATTCAATATAATGCTTTCAGGCAGATCTTCTATTATCATATGGGTATGAAAATGACATAAAAGCTTTTACACCTCATGTACCCAGAAGTTGTCAGTGTCTTCTTATGTCTGCAACATCAAGGTATGTTATTTACTATGTTTCTTCCACTTATTATATTTTTCATGTTTCTCCTAGTAAAAAGCATTATGATATAATGGGATGCTACATCTGTCATTTTCAAATGTGTGTGTACGGTGAGAGATGAGTCATGCTCACTCTTATAACATATATAACTTAATATAAATTGTGATTTTCATCGATTTCACTGTTGAATAAGTTGATAATTGTTTAGTACCTGTATTATTCACGTCACATCTTGTTAAATTGAACAAAAATAAGTAGATAATGAAATGGTCTTTATTTTTATATATTTAAAAAAATATGTACTACTTAATTTAATAGTCACGGATGAGATTCCAAACAATTTTAGATTAATCTATGATTTTACAAGTATGATCTATATATGATAGAAACCTTTAATCCAGTGATGGTTTTGAGATAAAATTATTTGGTAAAAGGTTATTGAATGGTGTAAGAGTAGGTAGAACTCACTGGTGTGAACCGACCCTCCTCTCTTTCCCTCTCTCAAATGTGCTTGGCCATTTTTTTTGTATTAAATAATATAAAACTTAAAACAAACACAATGACCTTTCTTGCACCTTTGTAGATTATATTATATCCTTGCTATAGATGAATATTATCTGTAAGTTTTATCAGCCAAATGTTTTTCCCTGTATGTCATTGACGATTCCATAGCTGATTTTGGGATTGGCCTTACGTTATACCTAAAAGTGTTCAACAATTCTGGGTAATAACTTTCTTCCTGTTTCTTGACATCATGGAGTTAATTGCAACTAACATAATTCTTTATTGTATCTTCAAAAATATTGAATCATTTCTTTCTTTAGAGAAGGAGAGCATACTTCAAAAATACCGTGTCCATTTGTTTAATCTCTCTTCTGTTGTATTTATTTTTCTAATGTACTGTCTGCAGCGCTGATGTTGACAAGCTAAAGAAGTTGATTCTACACAACCCCTTTATTTTGACTTTACCTGAAGTGGGAAATCATAAGGATGAGGTCATTCCTAAAAATGTTCAACAATTCTGGGTAATAACTTTCTTCCTGTTTCTTGACATTATGAAGTTAATTGCAGCTAATATAATTCTTTATTGTATCTTCAAAAATATTGCATCATTTCTTTCTATAGAGAAGGAGAGCATACTTCCTCTCTATGCTTGGGATCTGTCTTCTTCATTGATACTAAAAGGAAATGAACCATTATGGCAAGGAAAATTTCGATTTCAAGGGAGAAAACTCTTTAAAGCATCATTGGATTCAGTGATCCTTCAAAAATTCTAAGCCTTTGTATGAATTCAAAATCTTGCATACTGATATGGTTGGCTACTTAAGAATACTGAACCCCCACCCCCCCCCCCCACCCCCCTCTTCTGAGGGTGCTTGAAAGCTACCATTTTGCATAATAGATTTTTAGGCAGTGTTTTACTTCAATTTTTAAAAATATTCTTTTTCTTTTATGCCTGCATCCTTTTTATTCAACATTATTCTGTGGAGTTGATCAAGTTTTAACTGTTTTGCGTTGAATATTTTTCTGTCAGATCTCATGTCCTGGCAGTGATAAGTTGCTCTACATCCTTGCTGTGTTGAAGTTGGAGTTAGTCCAAAAGAAAGTTTTGATATTTACTAATACCATAGATGCGAGTTTCAGATTGAAACTATTCTTGGAAAAGGTATGTATTAAATATTCATGAGCCTTCACGTGATAAGCTTAAGCATTTGGGATAGTTAGTCAATGACATGGTATTAGTGTTTCTAAGATCAAATGGTTAAGAATTAGATCCTCTCCATCCATTCTTATATATGAAAGTTGAATTTTATGGGAAGTTAGTGTGGGTTTATGCATTGGTCATGCATCAAGCCCATAGGACTCTTGCACAATTGTAGTAGCTAAACCATTCATGAACCTTCCTTCATCTAATAGCCTGACCTTTTTGGGTAGTTGGTTACTGGCAGTGTGCATAGTTCTTGTTATGCATTCAGTAAATTAAATCCTCCTGATTATATGTGACATCATTCATGTCATACTTGTACATCAACATTAGCTCAAATGTATTTTTTGTTTTGCATTGATTTTCATATTGTATCAGTTTAATGGATAATAATTAATAAATACTTCTATACTCTGAAAATTTTATCCTTCAATATAGCTGCTCAAAATAGTTCTTGTTATGCATTCAGTAAATTAAATCCTCCTGAAGGTTGTATTTTTAGTTAAAATAGTATCTTTGATAACTGTGCTTGTAGTCTAAAACATTTACTAGCAGTGGGATTATTTTGTTGTCATCATTTCTTCCTCTCTCATTTTCCCCCTATATACTTGTAGTTTGGGGTCAGGTCTGCTGTTTTAAATCCTGAGTTGCCTCAGAATTCTCGTCTACATATTATTGAGGTATGCAAAATTATCCAATTCCTTCTTTCTTTTGATACAATAGCTGCTAAGATTTCTCTACTTCACCTGGAGTTATGACATTTTCATGCCAGTCAAGCATGAGAAGTTTATGTTTTCTTGAAAAAAAATCTTATTATTAATTAATTATAATTTATGTTTTCATCAGGAATTCAATGCAGGCCTGTTTGATTATCTAATTGCAACAGATGTTAGCCAGTCAATGGAGAAGGATGAAGCACCAAAGGAAAGTAATGTTGGATCACGAAAGTCTAGAAAACATGCTAAGACAAAAATAGATTCTGAATTTGGAGTTGTGAGGGGAATTGACTTTAAAAATGTATTCACGGTATGCAAGTTCTCTCTTACATCTCTTTGTGAATTGTGGTGTTTGTGACTTGTTTCAAATTGTTGCTCTGCACATGTCATTTTGGTAGTAATTGTATACTATGGTAAATATTCTGGTTTATATCTGTTTCATGGGGAGAGTGCCCAGTTCACTGACATCATTTAGTTAATGCTTTCTCTTGTTAATGAACAGGTTATAAACTTTGAAATGCCTCAAAGTGTTGCAGGATATGTACATCGAATTGGGCGTACGGGAAGAGCATATAATTCTGGTGCTTCTATCTCTTTGGTGAGTTTGTCAGACTAAAATCCCCTTTTTCATGTAAAAGTCCAAAATTGTATTATTGCTTTATAGATGTTGCTCTCTAGCCTATCTTGGTCCACTGGATATTCTATTGAGATCCTGGGTGGCACCTTGCTACTTAATGCTGGATCATTTAGATATTCCTTTGTCTTCTTAGGTTTCTGCAGATGAGATGGATACATTAGAAGAAATAAGATCTTTCGTTGGGGATGATGAAAACAAAGGCTCAAATTCCATTGCTGAGTTCCCCCTCCTCACAAAGAATGCAGTTGAATCTTTACGTTATAGGGCTGAGGTGATTTATTATTTCCTTAATTCCTTTACTCTTTAAGAAAGAACTAAATAGTATTCCATTGATGCATCAAACCAATGATAGCCTTTTTTTATTGGCTTGGTATATCTTTTTCTTCATTGTTAACTATTGATTAAGAATCCTCATGTTCAAAAATGAAATTATTTTGTCTTATGTGTCAAATGAGAAACATTCTTTGTGATTTATCATGTCATTTGTGTCTTGGTTAAACTTGAGAATATTTACTAGCATCTTGCACATCTTCTCATCCTTTTTTTCGTTTAAATGTATATTATGTAAGGGATATTTTGCACCTTCTGTTCTTTTCTCTGATTTTAGGGATTTGCAGTCCATGTCTGAGTATAATTGGTGTAAGTATCTGCTTTTGCAAATAATAATCAATAATGATGATTGGCATTATCTTGCAGGATGTTGGAAAGAGTGTAACTAAAATTGCTGTTCGTGAGTCACGAGCCCAGGATTTGAGGAATGAAATTTTGAACTCTGAAAGGTGAGTGCCTGGTATCACGTGACTCTATTGAGAATTGTAACTGCCATCTTCGATTTATTTCCTTTCTAATTCATTCCTGCAACCTTTGTTTCTATTATAGGTTGAAAGCCCATTTTGAAACTAATCCGAGAGACCTAGGTAATCTAACATTGTAATTGGTTGGTTGTATTGTTACAGTATGCAGTTGGCATTTATTTTGCATTTTTATGTTTGAAGTTGAATTTAAGGATTGAAATTGTATTTGAGCAGATCTACTGAAACATGACAAAGTTTTGAGCAAGAATACCCCGCCTTCACACCTACGTGATGTGCCTGAATACCTATTAGACAAAACAACGAAAGAGGCAAGGGCAATGGTCAAGCTCGCAAGGGATGCAATGGGAAATAATAATCGCCGCAGGGGATCCAAGAGAAAAATGAGAAAAGGTGGAGACCCTCTGAAGGCTGTCTCTGCTGCGGTATGTTTAATTTTTTCCCTTGGGGTTTTACCTCACTTTTATGCCCATTCTGAATCTTTAAGGGTAAAGGGGATGGAGGAGGGGCGTGTGGGAGACAAGGAAAATGAAAGGATGGAAAAGAATTTGGGTAGTTTTTTATGGACTTGTATGAAACTGAAAAAATGTTAGCACAACCCTGCATAGATCTACAGATAAATTCATTGCTGAAAACTTAACTAGTTGTACATTGTGGTATACTATTTCTGTATTCTATGACTTTTTGGATTACATTTTTGTCAGGTATCAAAAAGACCGCACAAAGTTGCTAGGAAGGCTGGTGCAAGCGAGAGCAACAATAGCAGTGATAGACATAAACGCCAAAAGAAAAAGGGTATTTTTGATTGATGTGCTTTTTTCCTACAAAGCCTTATAATAGGCTCAATTTTGTTGTAATTTTGGTTCCAAATATCGTAAATCAAAAGTACTATTGTAATTGTTGCTCCTTAATGTGACTTGAAGTCAATATTTTCCCATTACAAAATTAAATTTTACTTATTGAAATTATAGTTGTTAATTTTGGATAATCACGAATAGTAGTTAATCTCTAAGACACTGGAGTGAAATAGCGTACAGTGATATGACTGTAATTTAAAAATTTATAATATGTATATATAATATGTTATATATGCAGATTTTTAATATAAATGCTTAAGAAATTCTTTAAATTAATTACATAATTATCTATTGAAGTAAAAGTGCAAAATAGTACAATGAGTGTTATATTAAACCAAAAATGATTAATATAATAAAGTTAAAGTCTCAAAATATTTGTCCTTATACCTTAATCTAATCAGATTATGTTCTTGATAGAAAATTATCCTTTTCATTGTTACTCTTTGTATTACTACTTTTGTAGATATGTTATTTCTTTCTAACTTTTTTTTATCTAATTTCTTTTTTTACTCTTCATTTTGCATCTCTTTTCTCTTTTTCAACATTGTTTGTTGTCTAGGGTAAGCAAGAGACTCATCAATCCAGGTAGCTTCAACAACAACTTACTCAAGTTAAATCAACCCAATAGCTTTACCAACAATTTAAGTTAAATTATCATCATAAAAACTTACTCATCTTCAATAAGTTTTCTATTTTTTCCTTTTATTTTTTAATTAACCACTCATTACAATCATCGATACCAACTAAAACAATGAGATTAATAACATTACAATTGTTCTAACAATTTAACAAATTTTGATTATACTTGATATAAATCATAGTTTGCAACTTATGGCTCTCTAATTTGCCTCTCTTCTTAGAGTAAATTTAATCATTAATTAAAAAAATGTTATAATCTTTTCTTAACCAATTAATATAAATCTAAAATAAAACTATTTACTAAAATTTAGTTATTTACTTATTTAAAAATATTCTAATTTTTCTTACAATTTGATAAGTTACAAGTTAAGTTTAACACCTTAATGGTTAGATTTTACAAGTTTAAAACTTGATTTTCATAATTCTTCCACCATTCAATTTTATAATTAAAATAATTGACATTATTTAAATAAAAATAATAATTTTAAAAGTAAATCAAACTATTTTGATTTAAACTAAAGAGAAATTGAAGTATGCTTTTATCTTATATATGCATTCAAATCAAAAATTTCATCAACTCTTTTGTCTATGGGTAGCTTAATTGTAATTTTATCTGCCTTTTCTTTATAAGTACTCAATTTCTCAATGCATTTGTATAGTCCATGTGTCTCTTCAGGATCAAACTCAATACTTGGATTGAAATAATAAAATTTAAGGTTTAAGAAATAACTTGTATGTACTAAGTGACGAAGTTGACACTCACCTTCTATCAATGACACAAAGATCAAACTCAATACTTGGATTGAAATAGTAACTAAGTGATGAAGTTGACACTCACCTTCTATCAATGATACAAATACATGTTTATACTTCTCTTCATTTCTATTAAAAGGTTTTTTAATGGCTTCCTTAGCTCTATCCATCACTTTATATATATATATATATATATATATATATATATATATATATTTCAATTATTGATTGGATTAGTGGTTAAAACAGAACTTGTCTTAGAATTTTGTTTTGAGTCAGCTTTAGAGATGGCATTGATAGTTTTAGCAAGAGATTACGAATGGAATGTTATGCCTTTTGGCTTAAAAAATGCCCCTTCTGAATTCCAGAAAATTATGAATGATATCTTCAATCCTTATTCTAAATTTGTCATTGTCTACATTGATGATATTTTAATTTTTTCTCATTCTATTGATCAGCATTTTAAACATATAAATATTTTTATTAATGTTATCAAACAAAATGGACTTATTGTTTCCAAGTCTAAGATTAATCTTTCCAAACCAATATTAGGTTCTTTGGTCACAATATTCATCAACGATTTATCATTCGTATCAGCAGATCTATTGAATTTGCTGACAAATTTGCTGACAGAATCCTTGATAAAACTCAGCTTCAGAAGTTTTTGGGATATCTTAATTATGTAGGTGATTTTATTCCACACCTCAACAATATTATTAAGCCTTTGGCTAACTGCTTATGGAGTTTATCTTTTTGACAGACTTTGATAGCATTATGAATAATAATGGCAGGTTTAGATACATCTTCTAGTATTCCTAGGAATGTCTATCAAACCTCTGAAAAAGAAGAAGAAAACCAAAGTATCCAATCTCCAACCTACTCTTCCCTTAATGAATCTTATGATGTTATTTCATAAATTCATTATAGATAAAGAAACCCTTAGGAAAGATTTCTACTCTGAGGAATGGAAATTTCAAAGAGAGTGGTTCTTCTAAAATTACAAGGGTAAAAATAGATTCGATATATATATAATTGGTGATCTTTTTTCATTCTATACAAGTTTAAATACAGACACACAAGAGACTTCATCACCTTGAGTGTACAAGACTTTATTCCAAAATGTAGGCATCAATACAATGTCAGTTGCCTTCTTACTCTTAGTATCTTTGGTTATCTTTGATTTCAAACAATCATCCAGAGTGAACACTTTTCAAAGGTTGCTTTTTTGTTCATGCAACCTTTGCAAAGTGAGGAATGTTGTTGCAAATCTAGTGACTACATACCTAACTAATTCTATCTTTTTTTTGTGAATTTTCTCATTAAGTTCAAAGTCAAAGAGTGGTTGTGTATGAACCCTATAAGAGAATAACTCCTTTGTATGATTTTTTTGACTTTTTGAATCTTTCCAATGTCCTCCAACATCAAGTCCAAACAATGAGTTGCACAAGGAGTCCATCCAAAATAAGTGTGGTCTTCTTAATTGTAAATATTTACCTAAAGTAAGATTTCAAGAATTTATATAAGATAAAAATAATAAAAATAAATTTTGTATAATGTATAATTCTATAAACAATTCACCAATAAATTAATCAATGTCTTATTCTTCTTATTGGTCTATCTGTCTGGCATAATAAAGCAATCAAAGTTAAATCATTCTACCTCCAAAGGTTTCATAATTTCCTTTATTAGTTTCAATTCCTTTTTCAACAAATGAACTCTCGTTTGATAATAGCTTAGTTGTTTTAGGCGTGGACCATAATTTTCAATTGTTTCAATCATGAACTTGAAGCTTTTAAACTTCATAACATTAAATGGAATTGAATTTCTATAGAAGAATTTTGCAATGTATTGAATTGTCATTGTCCTTACTTCTTTGTCATAAGCATCCTTGATGCTTGTTTACCTTTAAACTTTTTTCAATTTAATTGATGCTTTTGACTCCTTCATGAGGAGCAAATTCAGAAAGCCTTTTAGATTTTTTTTCCCTTCTTCACATTAGAACCAACATTAAATGATTCAATTGTAGGTCTTTTTCCAGCTTAAATAAGGTGTATTTCTTGAACCTCTTCTTCCTCGTCTTCATCCTCTTTTAATTCCACCATTATATCTTCTTTATTTTTAACATTTTTTTGTTAGTATGCTTTAATGAGCTTCTTCTTAATCTTTAATGGAATTTTTTTATGGGTACCTACATCTCTTCTTATCACTATTTGGTATGTTTTTGCTCTTGTAATTCTCCCTGTTATGGTTTTTAAAGAAAACTCATAGGTAATACTCTTTCTATGTTAAGTCAATTCTCTAAAGGGCTTCACCAAGCCATAAACATCAATTACAAAAGCTCCTTGCTTCTATCCTTGTCAAGAAGATACCATGGAAGGGGGATTAGAAGTTTGGAACAACAAACAAAGCATGGATTGTTCAAGTCTTGACTTTCCAAGCAACAGAGTGTAAACAAAAAATAAAGCGTGAATGTGAACAACAAAACAGGGCATGACAAAGTAAATACTGAACAACAAAGTAAAGCTTGAATAACAAAGCAAATAATGAACAACAAAATAAAGCTTGAACAACAAAGCATGACTAAACAATAAAATAAAGTTTGAATAGAAAAGCAGAGCTTATGCCAAAAAAGGTTGATTTCTATGAAAAAAAAGAAGTGGGCAAATCTCTAAAAAAGCAAAGGAGACACTAGAAAAGCTTATTTTTCTAGTGAAATAGAACTGGGAAGCCTTAAAACAAGTTGATTTTTTTTGGCAAAATGAAGTGGGTGAGCTAGTGAGTAGGAGATAAAGTATTTCTCTTGAGGTCTCACTTTTCATGTAGAAGAAAGACAATTGATTATCTCATATATTTATTATATATAAGTTAAATGAAAAGTTTAAATTAAATATAAGAATTTTTAAACTTAAACTGATGTGGAAAGATCCTTCTCCTCTCTCTCTCTCTCTCTCTATATATATATATATATATATATATATAATAAATGAGATATGCTTTAGAAAAATAGAAAAGTTTCTTACTTTCTTAAAAATTGTAATAGTTACGCGACTTCTCCGTGTTAACCACTCATAACTTCGGTGACAAGACCAATGCCCCAAACTGTGATGGTGCAATTGTGCGCTATTATCATCTGATTGAAACTGTAATTTTGCTTTCGTCCATACAACGTCTTGCATGCTAAAACTCGTTAGTGTCACTACAATGTTTATAAAAAAAGTATATTATATATAATTTGAGAAATTTATATATTAAAAATTGTAAAAAAAAAATTCTAACATTATTATTTTATTTATTCCTCTAAAAATAAGATAAAAGTAAAAATATAAAATTAAGTAAATTTTTTTATTAGTTAAAAATTAAGTGTAAGATAATTGAATTATAATATAGAAGTTTTTTTTTAACTAAGTAAAGTGTCATATATTCTTTTAAAATTATAATTAATTAAAATATACAATTAGTTTATATATTTGACATATTTATAATTTTTTTTATAATTAAAAATACTTATATGTTAATCCTTATGTAAATATTTTTGATATTTTAATCATTCTATTGTAAATGGTATTATAATGACATAAATTAAAATATAAGAAAATATTTTATAAACATTAAAATATAATTTTTTAAATATAAAAATAAATTTTTAAATGTGTTTCAATTATAAAAATTGAATTTATAATTTAATTTTTTTAAAAAATATTTATATAATTTTAGAGTATGTTTTAAGAAATTTGTATAAAAAATAAAGAGTCATAACCCCTAAGTTATTAAGTAGATTATTTATTTTTCTTGAATTACTTGTAGAGATGTAATAGATTACAAGAAATAAGATTTATGTTTAGATAAGATAATAGTAATTTTAAGATGATTTATTTTGTTTGAGCTATTTAAAATAATTTATTTTTATATTAAATTATAGAAAACGATAAATTATTTATTGATAGTTGTGTGTTAAAATTAATAAATTATTAGAAATAGTAGAAATACAGAATATTTTAAAAAATAATGTTAAATTTTAATCATCAATTTTAGAATTTTTTTTAACGGAAAAAATTTACTAAAATTTTAAGCTAAATTATTATTATTGTTATTATAATTATTAGAATCTTGCTAACGAGTGCTCTTAAATTAATTAAGAAATTAAAAATAGGAAATTTTATTGAGATTTATGTTAGAGCATTGAAAATCATAAGAGAATGTGCATTTATTCCGTTTTTTGGACAAGAGAAAATTTTGGTTCGTAACTAATTATTATTATTATATTATTATTATTACTAATCAAATTAGAACTTTAAAATATAGTTCCATGGAACATAGAATGATTGAAAAGAAAAACTGATCCTTTTACATGTGTTTATATTTATTAAAGAATTTTTTTAATGTGTTTAATGATATGTACTAAAAATTATTAAATATACTATATTGAAAACTTTTTTTTTATAAAGAACAAAACTTAAGCACACTTTTTTAAGGTATTTTTTAGTATGATTACTAATTAATTTTTAACTCAATAATTAGTAATAATATTAATATAAAATTTTTATTAAAAATAAATTTTAATTTTAATTTTAATTGGTAAACGATATTGATAACACCTAAAGAATAACTTTTTATCTTTTATGAAGTATATTTATTATTATTTTTTAATAATTTTGATATAACAAGTTTTTGTTTTTAAAGATAAACGTTATACACATGTTAAGGAATTTATTTTTCTAAACTTAAGTTGAAAGATCAAAGAGGTATGATATTTATAGAGGTTTCAATTTAAAGTTGACTTATAGAGCAATTATTGTTTAATTTAATTTAAATTTATCTTTTTTAAATTATATCATAATCTATACCTTCCATAAAAAATAATTATTAGTAAAAATATTATTTTATTAAATAAATTAAAGAGATATTTTTAAAAACAAAATCAAATTAAAAAAATAAATAACAAACACAATATAAATCACATAAATAATGAGAAAAAAATATTAAAATATTACTGTTTAATTTTTTAAAATATTATTTTTAAAATAAAGAATATATATGTATATATATATGTATGAATATTATTGAATTAAAATAAAATTATTATATAATTAATTTTTAACTCAATTAGTTTAAATAAAATTAAAAATAAATATTTTATTATATTAAACAACACTAAATTAAAAACTAAAACAAATTCATACTAAGATGATTCTCATTAAATGTATCATAACAAGATCTTAATCCCAAAAAAAAAAGGATCCTAATCCCAACTGACTTAATAGATCTTAACATATCAAATACAAATCATTAAAACGAATTCATAACAATTTAAAAAAAAAACATATAATTTATTGTTATTAGTCTTTTTTTAAGTTTGGTCTATGAAGTACTTCAGATAATTCATTAATAATACATACATCCTAAGAAGATCCTAATCCCAACTAATGAAAGTGATCTTAAAATGTCAAACAGAAACCATTAAAAAAAAATCATAAATAAACATATATGAAACCAATAATTTATTATTATTATTGCCTTATTCCCTTTTTTACCGTTCGAGTTGCAGGCGCATGAAAGGTGATCCCCCCGCAGGCCACCGTTTACTGTAAGCTTGCACACGATTCTTATCGCACACAACACTTTCTCCATCCCAACACTACCCTCTCTGCAACATCAATTTCTGGAACATTCCGCCGTAGCAACCACCGAGCCACTTTCAACTCACTCGCCGAATCGCTATCGCTATTCAATTCCTTTCCCCGCCTCCCTCTTCCACTTCTATAATAGGGTTTCATCCCCCGAGCCTCGTGCTTCGTCCTCGAAGCTAGGGTTTGTTTTCCGAACCGAAAATGGACCACGCGCGATCGACGAACGGCGAGGAGAATGTGGGGATTCCCGACGACTTGCGGTGCAAGAGATCCGACGGGAAGCAATGGCGATGCACGGCGATGTCGATGCCGGACAAGACGGTGTGCGAGAAGCACTACATCCAAGCCAAGAAGAGAGCTGCGAATTCCGCTATGAGGGCTAACCTCAAGAAAGCTAAGAGGAAGTCTCAGTCACTGTCGCTTGGCGAATCGGATATTTATTTGGAGAGCAAGAGCGACGATTTCGACGTTCCTCTTTCCTCCATCAACCACTCCGCTAAGAAGTTCTTAGATAAGGTTTCTAAGAATCAGTTCCGTTACACGCCTGAAGCTGATTCCAGAAGAGCTTCCTCTGCGCTCCACGCTCGCAGCAACGTCGCTGATGATGACATGGATGCTGATGCTGACGCTGACGCTGATGCTGATGCTGATGTCGACGCGCCTCTCTACGAAGACAATTGGATCTCCTATGATTCTCCACCGGAGAAAAGATCGCATAGGAGCTTGGATGCTAATGCAACAACTGTGAGTAGAGTGTTAGGTTAATTCGGATGGATTGTTTTATCTCTTTTGTGTGTAATGAGTTGGAATGCTACTTTGCAGGAATATTCCGATGGAACCTCCGGTTCTTCTGGAGACACCGGCGGGCAAACTTGTCATCAGTGCCGGAGGAATGACAGAGAACGAGTTACTTGGTGCCTCCGGTGTGATAGGAGGGGATACTGTGATGGCTGTTTATCAGCGTGGTGAGTGTGGAATTTTAGTGAAGATGATAACAGTTTCAGTTGGATGGTGATTGTTATGGTTTCTACTTGTTTTTTAGGTACTCGGACTTTTCAGTGGATGAGATTCAGAGGATGTGTCCTGCTTGCCGTGGAATATGTAATTGTAAAACTTGCTTGCGAAGTGATAATTCAATTAAGGTATTTTGATAGTTACTAATTTAGTATTTGATGAAGGGTGTCGTTGAACTTTAGCATAGGTAATTTTTTCTTTCGATTAGTGAAATTTCTGGTTTTGCTGAATTTAAGGTTCGAATACGTGAGATACCTGTTATGGATAAGTTACAGTATCTCCATGTGCTGCTGTCGTCGGTGCTTCCTGTGGTGAAGCAGATCCATCGTGAACAGTGTTTTGAAGTAGAACTTGAAAAGAAGTTGCGGGGTAAGGTCCTCTGGTGTTTTTCTTTTCGTCTGGTGAATGAGTGTATGGCCATGTTTTAATAATGGTGTCATCCTCAGGTGCTGAAATAGATCTTCCGAGGACAAAGTTGAATGCAGATGAGCAGATGTGCTGGTACATTTATAAGACTTATCTTGGAATTGGTGGTTTTAATGGGTGCAGAAACATCATGTGCATGTTCCTTGTTCATAGATAGTATAAGGCTCATTATTTATTTTGATTTGCTTTCTTGCAGCAATTTCTGTAGGATACCTATTACTGATTATCATCGACGGTGTCCAAGTTGCTCATATGACTTGTGCCTTAATTGCTGTCGAGATCTTCGAGAAGCAACTGCAGATCTCAATAAAGAACCCCAAACAGAGCAAGCAAAAACTTCTGATAGAAACATATTAAGTAAGTTTCCTCTTTGGAGATCCAATGACAACAGAAGTATTCCATGCCCCCCTAAGGAGTATGGTGGCTGTGGTTATTCATCATTAAATTTAAGCCGAATTTTCAAGATGAACTGGGTTGCAAAGTTGGTGAAAAATGTAGAGGAAATGGTTAGTGGCTGCAGAATTAGTAATGCTGATGATACACCAGAAGCCGAGTTGAATGCTCTTAGACTATGCCAATATTCTCATAGAGAAGATAGTGATGATAATTATCTTTATTGTCCAACATCTGATGATCTCAAAACTGATGGGATTGGCAATTTTAGAAAGCACTGGAAAACTGGTGAACCCATTATTGTTAAGCAAGTTTTTGACGGGTCATCCATATCAAGCTGGGATCCAATGGTCATATGGAGAGGGGTTCTAGAGACATCAGATGAAAAAGTGAGAGATGAAAACAGAATGGTTAAGGCCATAGATTGCTTAGATGGGTCTGAGGTACACATATATCTATAGCTCTTCTCTTTTGGCAATTGAATTGTACTGCATTTTTGGTTCATCAGTCTTACTAAATTACTCCACATTATGGCTACATTTTATTATTTTCATTTTGACAGATTGATATAGAGCTTACTCAATTCATGGAAGGATACACCAAAGGGCATATTCATGAAAATGGTTGGCCACAATTATTGAAGTTGAAGGATTGGCCTTCACCTAGTGCATGTGAAGAATTTCTATTGTACCAAAGACCTGACTTTATCAGCAAACTACCTTTACTTCAGTATATTCACTCCAAGTGGGGCCTTCTCAATGTTGCAGCTAAATTGCCTCATTACTCCTTGCAGAATGATGTAGGACCCAAGATATATATATCTCATGGGATTAGTGATGAACTTGGCAGAGGTGATTCAGTGACAAATCTCCACTTCAATATGCGTGACATGGTATATTGCTTTATCCTCATTAACCCAAGATATGAGAAATGATCTTTTTGTCTTCAATGGTATGGTTTTGAGTTTGAGTAGCTGCCAGTTATTATTTTACAACAACTTGACGGTAATCTGGGTTCCTGGACATGTTGCACCTTCTTTATAATTTTTTCTTAAGTGTCTTAAGAATATAAATTTGATGCTTCATTGCCAATTTATGTTTGGCTTCGCATTTATCATGGTCTAACTTCTCATATTAATACATGCAGATTGTTGATATTTGTAACTAATTGCAAGTTGTTAATAATAAGTGCTTAGTGACAAATTATAATGTGCTATTTGAAGTCAAATGTCCAAACATGTGGGTTGTTTACCCAAAGTCTGCACATATTGTACATTTGTGTTTAGTATTTTAAAGCTCTCTCTCTGTCTGTTTTCCCTGTTAGTCTAGAGTGAAATAACAGAATTTTGATTTATTTTAAGAAAGAAAAGGACTGAAAGGGCTATGAGTAAAAGTAACAAATAATGAATTTACTGAGTTTCACCAGGTGTACCTTTTGGTTCATACAAATGAAGTGAAGATGAAGGACTGGCAGAAAACTAAAATTGAAACGATGACAAAAGCTTTTAAGGAATCTGAGGCAAAAGAATCTAGTGGGGATCCTCAAATATCTTCGAGGGAGAGTTCACCTGATTCATCACTTGGTACGAAAAGTAATGGACTGGATATGGATTCAAACCAGAGTAAATCAATTATGGACCAAGAGTTTGAAATTTATTCTAGTGCTGAAGGTAATATAGTCAACTGTAAACTTCCATTCACACAAAATGGAGATGTCTCTGAGAGAACACATCCAGGAGTTCTTTGGGATGTTTTTCGTCGGCAGGATGTTCCAAAGGTGACTGAATATTTGAAAACACATTGGAAGGAAATTGAGAAGTCATATGATATAGTAAATGAATTTGTAAGTCTTTAAAAATAACATTTAAAATTACATTACTTTCCCCTTTTATTGTTTAATTCATTTGTTTTGATTTTTTTTTATTGCTTATGGTAATCTTTGGATTCAAGGTTGCATCGCCTCTTTATGAGGGAGCTATTTTTCTTGACAAACACCACAAAATCAAGTTGAAGGAAGAATTTGGTAAGTAAAAAATCATCGAAATTAATTTGCTGGCATAGGAGAAACAATAAGGAGACCTAATTTTAGTATCTGAGAGCAATTTTCTCATTTGTACTGTTTATCATAGAAAACTTAGTACTGATGTGCTAAATTTTGTGCAACCCTAGAGATTTCTGAAAATAATTAATTTTATTTATCTTCCCTTTTAATGTGATTAGTACCTGCCTGAATAGGAGTGGAGCCTTGGTCATTTGAACAGAATTTGGGGGAAGCTATATTTGTTCCTGCTGGTTGCCCTTTCCAAGCAAGGAATGTTCAGGTGAGTTCTTTCCTTGTGACTTCACTCCATATAGTAAATTGGTGTGACCTATATAGTTTTTTATCTGTTGCTTGACCATACAAAGGCTGAAATTTTCATCTCGTTATTTGTTCACTGTTTTTTATTCTTAATCTATCAACTATATTTATTGAGTTTGACTCCTCCGTTAACATCAAAAATTGTTTTTTTGGGTGGGATCTCTTTCCCAAAGTTAATAATACCCCGGACCCATTAGTTGGAAGAACTTCACAATCACAGGTTAAGAGCTTGGGCTTCTATTACAATGCTGTGTGTTTAGGTACCAGTTCAAGGGTTTGTTTTGTCAAAAGATGGAATGTTTCTTAGAGTAATCACGCTGATGTTCCCAACTTTTTCCCAGATTACACTTACCTAGCCTCTTGATATGGACATAACACCAATTAGATGTTATAAAGGCAAAAGCTTTTATGAAGGTCAAAGTAATTTATTCTAAATTTTCTGAGGCCTGAACTCTCTTAACTAAAAGGATTATATTTTTTTTTTGTAAGCTTCTTTAGTTAGATTTATTTCATTTCTTTTTGGACTGAACTATTAATTTACTTTGGTTGGAGCCTAGATTCATTACAACCCAGTTGTTACAATAATCGTAGAATATTGAATTTGATGAATTTAAATGGAAATTATTTTGTTTAATGAAAAACAATCACTCTCTATATTTCAGTCCAATGTTCAGTTGGGCCTTGATTTCTTATCTCCGGAAAGCCTGGGGGAGGCTGTAAGATTGGCAGAGGAAATCCGCTGTCTCCCTAATGAACATGAAGCAAAGCTCCAAGTATTGGAGGTCAGAAGAATTGCATTTAATTAACCTTTGCTTTTTATCGTTGCCACTTTTCTATCCCTATTTTCTCCTCTTAAAATGCTTCTGTTTCATTTAATTTCTGTATTGACAACGTGTTGTACTTCTCTTCAACATTTATGCAGATTGGCAAAATATCTCTCTATGCGGCAAGTTCAGCAATCAAAGAAGTTCAGAAACTTGTACTTGACCCAAAGTAAGCAAATTTTCACGCTTGTTTTTGTTATTGCATCTCCCCCGCACACACACCAAACCGCCTGCCCTTGTCCTTAGAAATGGCAAACAAATTATTTTGCTTGACTGATGGTTCTTATCTATCCCTTGGCATTTTTTTTTGTGATAATAATTGTCCCAACGTCAACACTTCCCCTTACTGTTACCTAAAATAGTGAAACGGCTTGTTTTGTCAGACTTGGTGCAGAGATCGGATATGGAGACCCCCATTTAACTGCTATGGTTTCTGAGAATTATGAGAAGATGGTTAAGCGGAGGCAGATTACTTGTGCTTGAATTTTCACATTCAGTTTGGTCATTGAATCAAGGAAAGGGGTTATGTTTATAATAGTTGTATTTGAGCAATATTTTATGGGTTGATGTTTCAGTGTAGTTGATCAAATACCTAGGTAATCATTTATGTGTATAATAGTTACATGTTAGGGAGTCATATAATGAAAAAAAATAAAAATTCAAATCTGTATTTTATTTCAAAAAGTTGGATAGAAACATGTAAGTGATATTTACGAACTTGCTTCTGCTTGCCCGTCGTAGTATCCTTGTAGTTAAATTAAGAAATGCTTGGGGTTTAGAACTGGCAACAGGTTGGACAAAAAAAAAAAAGATCTGGCCATAGATCACACAAAAAACTAAAATTGGTTCATTTTAGGGGTCAGTCTCTGTTGCCATGCAATTAAAAAACAAGAGGGAAGTTTATTTTCCCCAGTTTTGGCGTCTGGCCTTTAAACATTGAGGATTCGTTTTAAGACACTGTGGTGAGTGCAAATGAATCAGCAATTTTGTAGAAATCTGACTTCAATTCTGACCAGGCTGATTCAGGTGCCTGAGCATTTAAAGTAAAAAGTCTACCACCGCGAGCGCAGCATACGGAAACATTGTGTCGTCGAAACGAGGGGCTCTCTACTCTGAACTCAAACTCGTAGTATTTGACATTTCTAACGGAATCTTCCCTCAAACTTGATTTTATCAATGTGCCTTTAACTTCAGGGCGTTGCCCTGATCCTGTTATGCGTCGAACAACGGCTTCGCCCACCTCATCTGGGCCTCCAAATGCTTCAATCCTACCGAAAAGGATTAGAAATTCAAGTTGTCAATCTTCCTTTTATTAATTATTAGTATAATTATGAAAAGGAGTTTATCAAGTGAAACAGGTGATCGATAAACTATTTTTTATTAGTCATTTATTTTTTATGTTATTTTGGGACCCGACACTTTCCACTTAAAAGAGAAACTGGTTGACCAAAAAAACAAGGAGAAAGTGAAAAGTTATCTTTTTCTTTATTATTAACATATCATTCTTTTAGTCGGATAACAACATTGGTGGGAAACAAAGTAAGTGAGGGGGCATGTGTGATACTACTAGCAATGTAGTTATTAGTCGTACTTACGAGAAGTCTTGGGCAACGGTTGAAACAATGACACTAACATTGAGTTCGCCATTGGAACCGGGTGGACCAAATGCAACAACCGGTTCATTGATGCTAAAACGTCGCCGTACATTGAGGGGAGGAGGATCCAATGATCGTTCCATCTCTCTTTTCTTAGCAGCTCGATACAGCACCGTCTGATCTCCAACCCAATTTGCTGGGTATAGGAATTCTGATAATCCAAATACAATGACAAAAAAAAAGACTCTTTTTCATTGGCGTTTTTAAATATATTATATAATGAAGTTTTAAGGTGAATTATATATATTACCGAATCCTTCCTTTGTTTCAAAGCAACGGCTGTAGCCAGCGATGGGATAAAGCACGTCGAGCTTGAGATTACGGCCACTTTGTGGCGACAAACCGAGAAGAAAACTGGTGATGCCACCAAAGTTTGCACCCAGAGCTACAAGTGAAGCTGATCCAACACCCACAAGAAGGCGCCTCTGGAACTTGGTGGCTAACGGTGCAAATTCCTCCGCCGGAGATGGCCCTCCATTCATTCCCTCTATGCGAATTCGGTTGCATGCCCTAAACCTGGCTTGCACTGCCATCCCCATATACTCACTAACCCAGCACTTGTCGACTCTACTTGTCCCTACTTCCTGGCCCCTTTAAGCAACCTCTTCCTTCCTGCAGGTCTAATCTCCAAGTCTAGGACAAGAATAATCCACTGGTGGTTTCTGGTTCGTCACGTGTTTGTGTGTGGCCCGTTTGTGGCTCTTGATGGTAATGGAGTGGGATAGCTCTTATCTGCCTTCTGTGGTTCTCATTCCTTCAGGTAATCAAGAGCCACTTTTGTGTACTGTACTTAATTGAGTTATGAGAAAAAAAAATAATCTTCAAGTATAAAATATTTAACTTAAATCTAATTTTGAAAATTTATTTTAGTTTACATGATCAAAATTAATCTCACATGATATGCTTTCCCGCTTAATATTTATAATATACATTTCATTATGAAATAATTGCCATTTTATCAGTAACAAACGAATTAAAAAATAATTATTAATTGTCTTAACATCTATTGAAAAAGGTACTTATCAGATTGAATTATCTTTTTTTTAAACATATATTATTGATAATTCATCTCTTACAAAAGAAACTATAATCATCAAGGTAAGTAATACTTAATAATGAACATATTCTTTTAAATAAAAAATAAAATTTTTACCTCTAATCCTAGATATAAGACTGTTTTTAAAAAACTATCACAATTCATTTTATAAAACTCTATGCAAGTTGTTTTCTGCATTAATTAATTAATAAAATTATTCTTAATAGAGACAGTAATTAATTAAGTGAAAAAAAGGAAGACAACGAGTCCTAATAATTTTAAATATAAATTATTAATAAATTAATTCATTAATAAAATTAATTATATATTTTTTTAATTCTCATAAAACAGTTAACATGATTTTATATTTAGAATTATATTCTTGATATTATAAAATACATAAAAGTTAGAAAAAAAATAGATGGAGTATATAACATAAACTCAGTGTGCATGAGTAGGGAATTCTTAATGATTTGCCATAAATTTCAACAGTGGAACACATTCAATTTATGGGACCAAATTAAAGTGTACACTGTTACACTGGCTAGCTTGTCATGGTAAAATCGACCACTATCGATGATTTAATGCGCCTTCCTCTTTAGAAAGACACTTTGGATTTCTTCCACGACTTGTATACTATATATGGCCGAAAGGGGGGATTAGTTAAAGAAAAACAAGCACATAACGACCAAACTCAGCTGAAAATTCCACCCTCTAAAAGGTTGACTATTATTCCTTGGTTCTTTTCAAATGCTGCTTGTTGCTGAAAATGATTCAAAGCCCGCATTCTTACTCGACCAATTTCTCCAAACCTCATCTGCTGCACCACTTTCTGCTTGTTGCGTACCACCATAGAAATTTCCATGTGCAGCAGCAGCACCTCCTCCTCCTCCTCCTCCTATCCCCAACAAGTCAAGAGTCGTCACATCTCCGCTTCCTTTGGTTCCACCAATGTTAATGGCACTACTTGACCCACCGTTTGTTGGTCCTCCACTATTGCTTCTACTGTTTTGCTCTATGATCTTCGATAAAGCCTTGCTTTGATCCAATATTGCGTTGAACATATCCACACCATTCATTCCAACACCTCCTCCTCCCATTCCATTTGCACCAAAATTAGTATACTGAGCAGAAATATTGATATCGTGTTGGCCATTGTGCATGTACTGGTTCATGAAGGATTGCCCATTTGGTTGTTGTTGTTGTTGCACCACACCAAATGATGGCGGTGCCATGTTTGTTGCAAAGGTTTTTTCCGTCACTGTTGCACCCATTTGTGCAGCTTTTTGCAGCAACGCAGTGGCTGACATGTGTGGCGAACCTGCAGCTAAGTGAAGCCCGTTTTCCTCGAACATGTTTGAACTTAGTTGAAGAGAGGGAGAAGAGGTGGATGAAAGGCTTCTTGTGAACAAGTTCCCCGGCATGTTGCTGTTGAAGGGTTTTGCTGAAGGCATTGGCATGAGTTCTTGTGGCAGTGAAAGTGGATGCTTGTGATCAGAATGGTTGAATTTCGAGGCGCCACCAATTTGTGGGTTGGGAATATTGGTGTTGAGTGGTAATGAGGAAACGAGGTTTGGTATTGGTTGGCATTGCATGTTTGAACCTATCTTTGACAATTGTCCTTCATTGGCTTTGTTGTTCTCCTCAGCTAGTGCATCACAGAAAGCCCTGTGCGAAATGAAGCTATCTCTTCTGCAATGTTAAGTAAATATGATGCATGCAATAAGTTATTGATCATGAGACATGCATTAAGGAAAAAGAGACTGCAGGTTGGAGAATGTTATGAGCTGTAAATAAATATTGCCAAGTATATATATATATATATATATAATTGTTCATGGGACCATGCATGAGCATTATTATCAAATATAAGATTAATAATTTAGTGTCTTGGACCAGGAATCTTTGACTGAACCAAATAAATTTAGAACTTTGTTGTTTGAAACAAATAAAAAATTAACAATATATATATATATATATAAACTTAAAAAACAAAAAACAAAAAGTTGTCCCATGTATGATAAAATTTAATATACATGTATACACACGCGCACACTAACCCTTTAGACTAGAAGACTTAGTTATATATATTTTCTTTATGCAAAAAACATATGTAGATGCTACTTGTTTGTTCGTCAACCAGAGAGAAATTTTCAAAACTGACAATTAAACTATCCTAGAAAAGTTTACGAAAAATGAATTCAAAGATGGCAAGTAACACATTACTCAAGTCAACAAGAACGTGTGTGGTCAAAGAAAGACCTCCACGTAACAATTAAATATTAATTTATAAAGGATATATATAGCCGCTGCATGCAACTTGTGCACGAACTATGAACGAATATTGATGAGTCAAATTTCATGTAAATAATGTATTTGTCTAACTTATCATATGAATTAAATAATTTCATGAACTAATATAATTAAAATACTATATTAAAGTTATATTATTTTTATAAATAAATTGTCATCATTATCTTATAGAACAATTAAATCCATAAATAATACTACGTAGAAGTTTTATATACGTGTGTATCAACCTGGAAAAGATGGTTCCACAATCACATTTGTATTCCCTTGTACCACAGATTTTTGAATGGGCTTTCCAGTCAGACTGAACAGCATATTTCTTTGAACACTTATCACATTTCCACTTCTTCTCGCCGTGCTTTCTGCAGAAGTGCTTTTTGATGCCAGTGAGATCACCCAGTGCTCTTGCAGGGTTGTGGTGGACACACGAAGGTTCTGGACAAACATAAACCCGCTTTCGAATTTCTGTGCTGGTTCTTTGTTTAAGCTTCCATGGTAAATTGTGACCCCGCCGGTGCAACTGAAGGTTTTGATCTCTTTGAAACCCTTTGTTGCAGATTTCACATATGAACCTGTTCGTGGCCATGAGTGTGTTTGGTGATAAAGCTATAACTTCAGCACTTGGATCTGCACACGCCCGAGTACTAATTAATTAAACAGATTAGACTATATAATGCATATTTCTTACCATTTAATTATTAGTGTTCAATTATGCACCCAAAGCAAACATAAAATATTTATTTCAAGTTGTTTCAATGGATATATTTGGTTGAAGATAGTGACAAAAAAAAAACCTACAAAATGAAGATATATAAGTGTAATAATAAGTATAATAACGAAGAAGAAAAATGTGTGATGTCGGATTCTTTGTTCACACGGCCACGAAGATAAGAAGAATGAAAAAAAAGAAAAAAGAGAAAGATTGAATATATATAATTTGAAACTCCAATTCCTCTCTCTCTTTGTCTCGTCCACCCCTTTCATTTATTTTATTTATTTTTTATTTTGACACATCTTCCAGATACAGACACACTAGGAAACAAACACAAGAGAACACACAAACACAGCACCACATAAAGAGGGAGAAAGCAAGAGATATTTGATATCGAAAGTATATGATATGGTCCTTTACCGTGAAACAGTTGTAAAACAAAAATCAAAGGAAACAGGAGAAGAACTAGCAGTCAAGCAAAGTCAACAGTGAACAGCAATGATTGTAAACCCCTGCAAAGGCAATAATTGAGCTTCTTCGCCTACTAATTACTCTCCAATAATTCATCATTTTGGCAATCAAATTCGGGCTTAAAACATCCCCAGATCCTTGTCTCCGTTTACAAGGAAGATGACTTCTAACAGATCGACCCTTATCCTCTTAATTTGATGGAGCCTATAGAATATCTTTATTAAATGTACTCTAATTAATTAAGCATGTCATCATCCAGAAATTTAATGTAGACCTTTTGTGGGATATTATTATTATTATTATTTATTATATAAAAGCCCATTTTGAGCAAATATTCAACAAACTAGGCATCGTTATTTCAATTTTAGAATCAAAGAGACGGGTGAAGAAATATATGCTGTACTTTATAATGTATGTAAATGAAATATACCAGAATTTTTGTTATAAAGTATTGTAGGAATTAACATGTGCAGGCCATGGATAACAATTAATATTCATCTATGGTTGCATCTTTAATTTGGTTGTCCGTTTAAATCTACAAAAAGTAATTGCAAAACCAATAATTAGAAAGTGTTACTTAAACTATTTACATATTCAGAAAGCAAAAAATAAGGAGAAAGGAAAAAGAAAATTAAGATCGATATATTTGTTAATGGGGGTGTGGAAGAGTCAATTTTTCCGAGATGATTGTTAGAAAAGTAACCTGGATTTCCTGGTAGGCTCCTTTTCTTCTTAACAGGTGCAGGTGGTTGTGAATTATTGTTGGAACCATTGCTGTTATTTGTTGTTGTTGTTGAAGTATGAGAATGTGGACTATGGAACTGGCCAAGCATCTCTTGTTGCTGTTTAAGTGCATCTTCTCTGGTATTCTCTGTAGAGAAGCTTCCACTATCACAGCTTGTGATGTTTGACATTGAAGGTAGCCAAAGAAAAGAGAAGAATCTATTGAAAATGTTCACTTTATTTAATTTACAAACAAGTGTTTGTCTCACTAAGCTTGTTGCAGCAGCTCTCTAGCTAGCTGCAGCAAGATTAATTTTCTACAGAAAAACTAAGGAAAAAAAAAAGAGAGGTAAGTGAAACAGAAAAGATGGGATTTGTGCAACTAGAGGAAGACAAAAACCAGGAAACTCTCCTCCTTTTATGGTGTGGAGACGAGGGTGCTTGCTGGCACAAGAATACAAGAACAAGGCTTTGGATTTGCATTGTAATAAAAAATTATATATTATACTTCTTTGAGGCACTGTTGTTTGTATATACATATGCCCCTGGCATTGTTTAATATTAAGAACAAAGCCCTTCACTTATTTTTCCGTGTTTATGTATAATTAGCTACTTACGGCATCCTCACAATATTTTATTACTTAAAGATAACAATTGAAATACCAATATATGCTCATGGAAGAAAATAGTTTTCTAATATCATTTCTTGAAAATTCTCTTACGTTTATTAGGCGTAAGAAAAACTATAATATACAAGAAATTTTCTCAAAAAATAATTATCACACACATTGTTTGAAAAATGGGTGAAGACTCAACAGTCAATGTCTTTCTCAAATCAGAGATGGTTTAGTGATAAATAACTACGTTGCGTGAGTAGATGTACAATCACGTATTTTAATATTAATTATGTTAGTTAGTTGTGATAAAAGATTTAACTTATAACTTGCTTTAATTATATCAACTATTAACTGTTAAATTGCATTAAATTTTGCCAACAATATGAGAGTATTAGAGAGACCGAAAAATTAATAAAGCTCCTTCTGCTTAGAAGTGCATGAAAACATGTGTTAAAATAGTGATGAGAACTTTATCCAAAATATACTATAAATAGATTCAAATGCACGTAAATTGATTCCCGTATACCGAACCCAGGTTTTTTTAAAGAAGAAATTCACATTATTTTTTGTTATGTTAAAATGGTTAATTGAATCAACTTATGTTGAAGAGGGAAAGAGAATATTTATAAATATTCCTTCTTATTAAGGATAAAAAAGGGTATTATGGGTACTTCACTTGTGATTGTCTTTTAAAAAGTTTAATTTATTTGACGTTGCTAGAGGACGAGAGCTTCAAGTTGGAAAGTTTGTCTGCTTCTGAGGATATTTTAAAGAGAAAACTATTGTTACGGAAACGCCCTTGTCCTTTAAGCGAAACAACAAAAATGCCACTATTAGTAAGACTCAGCCGCCTAGAGAATGTAATTACGAATTTGACCTTACCTAGTCACGGGTGGATTCTGATCGAATCATTCTCGAAAATGACCCCATAATAATACAAAAATTCTTCTGTTCACGTGTGTTCGGGGTAATTTCCGATGGGTCAGAAGAGTCCGGGGTAATTTTGATATTAAATTTCAAATGTGGGGCTTTTTTGTAATTTGATCTAACTTCGAATATGCTTAGTAATGGCGTGTGACAATTGGCCTTAAATTTTTCTTTCTTTCTTTAAAAATGATAGTCTATTAATATAATAATGTTTTATAAAAGCGTAGGTAGTAGAATTAGAATTAGAATTAAAATTAAAATGAAAGGAGTAAATATGACATTACTACCATGAAAATGAGAGAGAGAGAAACATAACAATTACTTAAATGAACGGATACTCAAATTATGTTAAGCTTCTCAATTATTTAATAATAATAAGCAAAATTAAGGGTTTATTTGGTTGGAAGAAGAGAAGTGAAGAGGGAAGAAAGTAATAAAAATAATAATTTGAATATTTAAATGAAAAGAAGCAAGAGGAAGATAATTTTTCCAGAGTCCATCTAAAATAAAATATTCTTAAATTGAGAAGGAGAAGCATAGGCCGTTTTTATTTATAATTATTGAAAATTTAATAATATTTATATATTTTTAAAATATAAATTGTTCAAAATTTTTTATTAAAAATTATAATAAAATTTATTTATTATTTTTATTCATTCAAATATATAAAGATCTGTTATTTTTTAAACTCGTTTAAATAGTACATTTTAATTTTTAAATTTTCTACTACTCGTTCGAACACATCTTAAATCTTTCTTACAGAAGTTCAGTGATGAGAATTCAATAATAACGAAAAAAAAAGAAAAAGCCATGAACATAAGTTACTTATATCACCTGATGGTAGATTTGGGTTATGTCAAACTCTTTTTTCTTGTTATCCTTTATAATTTTTCTTTTAACTACTTCTATTGAATTATATATATTCAATATCCATTTTGGCCGTCAATATATATATATATATATATATATATATTCTTTATTTAATTAATCAATATGAAAGAAATATTTCATATATAATATATTTAAATTAAGAATGAAAGATATAGGCTTTTTCATTTTTAATTATTAAACTTTTAATAATTTATAAATTTTTTAATATAATTTCATTTTTTATATTTTCTAAATTAATTTAAATAAATATTTTTATTTTAATTCACCTAAATTACATATTATTTTTTTTTATCGTCTTATCATTTTTACTTTAATTTTTTTATTTTATTTCTCGTCTAAATATATCTTAAATATTTTCTAATCATATAGTTCTATTATTTTAAACTTATTTTTTTCATTTTTAAATTTTTAACTACTGTTATTGAATATATATATATATATATATATATATATATATATATATCACGTAATTGGTTATATATTTGACAGTATCTATTGTCATTTTTTATTTAATTAATTAATGTAAAAAATATTTTCTATAAAAATAATAGGATAGAGATTTATAAAATAATATATAAATTAATTTAAATCACAAAATTATTATTTTATCAAAATTAATATAAATTTTAAAAAACTCATATATATATATATATATATATCACTTTTGTGTACATATAATATCAAATTTTTTATATTAAATGATAATTTTTTCTTTAATTTTTTTCCTGTTAATTTCCTTTGACAAAAATTTTATTAAAACAAAATAAATTATAAAAAAATATCTTTATAAAATAAGGAAAATATTTTTATTTAAAAACATTCATATATTATTTTTATAACAAGTATTAAAATTATTTTTTCAAAATAATGATTTAAAAAAAAACATAAAGTATAAAGTAAAAAGAAAAAATTTATCCAATTTTAATGTTTTCCACCTCATAAGTTTTTTATAATAAACATTTAAATTATAAGAATAAAATATGATAATTCAATAGGATAAGCTATTATTTTCAGTTGTTAGACAAAAATTAAAAATAAATTAATATAGATGAAAATTAAATTAAAAATAAATTTAAATCATCTTATCTTATTTTCTCATCTTAATTATTGAATAAATCTTAAAATATTATGTATATTAATATTATTTTATTAATTATAAATAGAGATAAAAATACGTAAAATTGTTTAACAAAGTTTATAGCTTAACTTGTTTAAAACTCAATTTATTTAAGTAAAATGTTAAATTCTATCATTTTAAAAAGATTTAATTAATTAAATAAGTTAGATTTAAAATTTAAAAATATTAAATATATAGATTAATCTATTTAAGACTTACTAATTTCATAAATTATATAAAATAAAATTTATACATAAATTATAATATATTTATAATATTATATTAAATAAAGAAATTTTAAAATAAATAAATCTATAAATTTTATAATAATAAATATATATTTTATAATTTTTAAAAAATATAAATTTATTTAAATAGTTTGATAGTTTAATGATCTATCAAATATTTCTATACAAAGTAAACTATTAAAAATGTGGAAAAAATAAAGTCTATATATAATAATAAGTTACATTTAGATTTTAAAATTATTAAATAAGTCAAACATATTTAATGCAAAATCCACTTCCATTTCTAATTATAAATAATATTTGATTAATAAAAATAAAGATTAAAAAAATAAAAAATTCAAAATTTAATCATATTGACCTATAATAATAATAATTTTAATAATTAATATAAACTTTTAAAAAAGTTGAATCAAATTTAATAAAAAATAGTTTAAACTTTAAAATTATTAAATAAATTATACATACTTATCCACAGTCTAGTATGGTAGTTATAAATATTATTTGATTGACAAAAATTAAGATTTAGGAGTAATAAAATGAAATTTCAAAATTTAATCATATTAATCTTTAATAATAATTGAAAATTTTAATTTTGATATACAATATACAAATTTTATATTGTCCATCAATTAAAAATTTTCAATGTAAATATTATTTTTATCAGTACTTAATCATAAATTATTATATCATTAAAATTACTAGTTTCGATTATTTTATAAGTCATATTTTAGGTGTTATTTAATTAATTGATAATATGAAAATTATAAGTGTGTGTGATTTTTATTTCGTTTCATTATTATAAAGAAGTAAGAAAACAAAAAACATATTGTTTTATTTTTCTCCTAAGTTAAAGATCACATAATATTTTCAACTCTAAAGGGGAAAAGAATATCTATGCACACATAAAAAGAAACTAAGATATTTATATTTTTTGTTTGAAATTATTTATATAAAACTTTTATATTTTTGAAAAATGATACAACATTTATGATATATGGGTAAAGAGAGCATAACTCAATGGTTTTTCACTCTCATAGGAAGTAATTATGTTTCATATTGATGGGACTTTGGAACCGCAGCTCTGCGTATGCCTTTTTGGTACATTATGAGTAATATTGAACCACTTATTGGCTCCTGCTTTTGTGTCTATCTTCACTTCTCCTTTTGAAAATGACCATTTTTTTCTTTTTTAAATTTCGTTCACCAAATTAATATGCCACTTTCAAAGAACCAAAGAAAGTGACTATTCCATCTAACGTGCTGTCCTCCGTCCTTTACGTTCTTTTTCATATGCGTGTCCTGCGAGTACAGATCCAAGATTAGAGATATCTCAAATAAATAAATAAATAAATAATTTACAAAAATTATCCTATATTAATTAGTATAAGTTTTATCACATAAAAATTGAGAAAGCTAACAATAATATTAAAAAATGCATCTAAGTGTCCGAGAGATACTGTTAAAAATTAAATATACAAATATTTTATTAAAAATGTAAACATACGTCTCATATTTTTTAATATAAATTAAAATCTTTTTTAATAAAAAATTATTTTATTAATTTTTTAAGTAGTACTTTTAGAACATTGTTAGTAATATCTTCTATTGTACTTAAATTCTAAGAAATTAAATTATTATAATATTATATGTTTACACTATTGATTTGATGCA